CATATAAATATCTCAAAATATTTACTGCTTCTGATATGCCTTTGCCTTGCCTGACAAAAATTAAGCTTCTCAAAAATAATTGGAAATTACTGAATGGAACTTAATCACTCTTTTTATCTGAACAAGGGCATATTTTTTGTTCTCTTTGGCTTGTCGATTTGTTTTAAGCTAAAAGAAAATAGAACTCTCATAGTAATCACTTTAGATGCATAGTCTATGCATATATTAGCCAACCACTGTGTAGTCACTGTTTTATACAAACCCAAAATGTAACAGTACACCCCAAATAGGCTTTTTTCATCTAAAACTTTGTTGAACCAATTGTGAAGTAGTAAGTAGTTGTGGCTCGTACATACAGTAGGAGGCTCAAGGTGTACATTGAGAGCCACAAGAATGGGCAATGGCTGCAACTTCTTTCCTCTTCCACAAACAATTGGTTAATGCTCAACACTTGTTATATATATATTGGTTGTGTAGTTGTACTTATATGCTGCTCTGGAGCCTCTCAGGTCACATGATCTATATATGTATTATCTTTTTTGTTTTTTTGTATTTTATTATAAAAATTACAGCAATGAATTTATAAAGTGGGAGGTCTTATTTAAATGAACAGCACAGTATTTTGGATTAGAAGTATATACAGGACTACAATTATGGTTTATATCTCCCTCAATTCTTTCCTTGTTAGACAAACATTTGCTAGAATTTCAAGCAGAATAGTTTGTTTCATTATACAGTATCCTATGGGGGTGGGTAACTGCATATCTATATCCATCATGTCTGGAATGCATTTATTATTGGTCCAAACATCTATAACTAAGAAAAATTCTGTGAATTATTTCCTAATTTCAGTGCCTATACACTCTCAATCTGTATATACTGTGACACCCTGTTCCCAAACTTGTGCTCTATTTTACAAAAAACTATAGCCAACATACCTCCAGTTAAGAGTTGAAGGGGGGCCAGTTTTATAAATTATGCACTTAAGTTACAGCTTTCTATTCATTCAAATTCAAATGTTTATTCAGGTAAAGTACATACATACAAGGGGTGATACAAATATTGATGAATTTATAGATAGAGCTAGTACATACAATGCCTAAAGCCACTATTACGCAAAGCGTTTCGGTACTCTCTTCATCTGTATAAAAAAAAAGCATTACAAATTAATTTCTATGTTATCCACCTCAAACATAAAAACCCACAGGCCCCAGAGAAAGATTGTTTTCTAGCTTGTAAGTATGGGCAGTACTCTGTAATTGGAAATTCATTATGACTTCTTGTAAAATGCCATATTTCAGTATATGCATCTGTTAAACTGCCCTTTACCAAACCCATTATTCATGTGCAATATAAACCTAAGCCTTGTGATTGATCCTGCCATCAGTTACCATAACATTAAAGGAAGGGTCAGTCATCTTCTGTAAAAAATGGTAGCAGGAACACCTTATACAGTCTTCATTGGAATCCTGTAGGTACTGTATTCATTTTTTATATAGTTGATAACAGATATAAATCTTATTGTAGGATAACAGTAAGGTCTGGTACTGCTGATCCCTATCTGAAATTTTCCCCTTATTGACTCAAGGCAGACCAATGTTTTCTGACTGAACTCAGGTTAATACATCATAATCAAAATAACTAGCAATGTAGCCATCTCTGTAGAGTGCCAAATGTCAGTAGTGACTCGGATCCTTAGACAACCAATTGTGCTTGGGTCAGGAACACCTAGCAACAAAGGAATTCCTCAGTATAAACAACTGTCTAAAATCAAGTAGGTTCTTGACTTATAGCCAATAAACGACTAAGAACACGAGCCACCAGGTAGAATAAAAGCCTTCTTCTGTAAATGTGTTGCTCAATAACTCATGAAAATATTGGAATGTCTGTTAGTCTTGCCTTTTCCTTAACATACACATACTTCATCCCCTTGTATTTTGTTTCATAACAACTATACATTAACTCTGCTCATGTTTAGTACTTCATTTACATCTAAACCTTCTAAACTGTAATTCCACATTTAATGTTTACATATGATTCAGTGTGTTTAAGGTCTGTCATTCAAGATAATACCATGGTATAAATTTCCTAAGTAGATGATATGGGGGTGTGACTAATCCATTCTAGACAACAAAAATATATTAATACAATAAATGAAATAAATGCAAATACAGTACAGTATTCACTTTACCTGCACTTAGGAGAATTGATGGCATGTGTGTGGAAGGCAGCGAGACAGAGGCTTACATCCATGTTATTCTTTTGTAGGGGAGTCCCTCCCCCCCTTCCTATGGTTATAGCTTCTGGTAGTTGTGATTCTGGAGTTCTCTCTCTTCTGTCTTTTTCCGTTTCCCTCATTAGACTCACTGGATGCTTTTCTTACAAGAAACTTGTTCAAGGATGATTGCTTTTGCCTGCACTTTAAAATGTTTCTAAAGTGAGACATAGCATTGTCATGCAACAGTTTTATAACACAGTTTGTCACAGCTTTGTCTGGGTGATAGTTTTTTCAAGAAAACTTTGCACTCCCCCCCTTTTTGCACACTTTTTATTTATTTATTTATTTATTACCGTAGATAACTAGGGACAGCCTCACTACCCTGATCCTCTGAAGAGAATATCTCAACTGCCATGTATTTGCTGCTCCCTCTGAAGGTCCTGGTGAGCTCTGTTGTGCTCCTCCGACTAACTCCACCACATCATCAGCACTAATCTTTAAACCAAATGACCTGTCCAGAGAGAGACAATTCCTCCTCAAGTGTCAAAACCTTCAAAGTCCCTTTCCGTTATAGCATCTGATCACAATTTCCTCCAGGCTTCTTCCCAGGCTTTGTCTATGAGCTTAAGAAATGGAGAATATTGAAGTAGTTCTTCCATAATTCACGGAGGGTTAACTGGGTATCAGGTCACTTCAAAGCACCTTTGGAATAGTGCTATAATTTACAGCTTCTTAGAAATGACCTGCTAGTCCATGGGTTGGATGAAAGGAGCTGTTTTGGGGCAAGATCTTCACTGTTGAAGTTAAACTCCTGCAGCAACTCAGCTTCCATGCCTGGAGGATGAACAGGGATCTTTAGAGGCAATTGATTCCTCACAAGTTATTCCTTGACACTTGGACCAAACATTTCATTAACACACTCGACAAAAAATGGCCAGGTTACCAAAGCTTTGCTGTCAGCCCTCCACTTACAGTTAAAATAAATTGATGGTTGAAAAGGGCTGAATGGGCATGTGCTGAAAAGTAACTTACTTTTCAGAACATTGTTTTTCCTTACCCTCGGGTTCTCAGAGTGGTAGACTAGCAAGGTTTCAGTTAAAAATCCCAACTTTCATTTCCACACAACAAAATCAGTATATCCTTCATTGGCTAGTTTGTTGTTGTTTAAGATTCGCTACCCGGAACAAAAAGTTCCAAGTAGCACGGGCTATGGTGAGCCCGCAAGCATTGGCTTGTGTCCTGGCAATGCCATCTCCTCGAGTGATATAGAAGCACCATTTTCCCAGAACAAACCTGTCTCAAAACTTGTTGGGTAATAAAACCTTCAGCCTTTACATAGTCCCGAAACTAACAAAAATTCTCGATAGCATCCTTGTTAGAACTTCTTTCTTGCTTTCCCGTGTCTCACTACACTGAATGTCACTTCTTAAATTTGTCAAACCCCCCATGACTGGCTTTGAAAACTTTACTATCAGCACTCATTCCAGGGTTTTTCTGTTAGAGATCACCATGCAGTTGTTTTAATAACATTTTCACAAATGATGATCTTAGATATACTATCACCAGCCAACTGTCATTCATTTATCCAAAACAACAATAATTTCTCAACCTTTTCAGTTGTCTGTGATCTCTGTTTCGTAACTGCTTTTACTCCTTTTGCAACATCAACTGCTTTGATGTACTCTATTTTTAAGTACTGTATTGTAGGTATCATCAATTTAGGCATACCAAACTCGGTAGCAAGAGCAGACATGCGAGCACCACTTTCATAATTTGCTACGAGGTCATTTTTCAGCTCAAATTTTGGTTCTAACTAATTTTCTTGTTGCCTGGATCTTATCACTAACTTATTTTTAGGTGCCATGGTGACTGACTGACTCACACATGAATATAAAAAATATCCAAGAAAACATGAGAAAGTTCAGAGAAAAGTCTAGTGGGATGTGCAATGAACAACAGTTACTGTGAAACAGACTCGTCAGACACGTGTGTTTACATTTTAATTCCAAGTAAACGGTCAACTATTGAACGTGAACACAGCATTCAAGTGCCGAATTGCTCAAGTGAGGGCTGTTCGAGTACCAAGGTTCCACTGTATGTACAGTGTGTGTATAATTAATAATTATTATACACACACAAATATATATATATATATATATATATACTGTATAATATATATATATATATATATATATATATATATATATATATATATATATATATTATATATATATATATATATATATATATTATATATATATATATATATATATATATATAGTATATATATATATCTAGTATATATATATATATATATATATATATATATATATATATATATATATATATATATATATATATATATATATATATATATATTATTTATATACTGTAAAAGCAAATTTTTCATTATGCCCTCAGAGGGTGGGTCGGCCACCACAGAAAAAGAAATGGTTTTATAAGTTTTCTAGTGTACTAAAAATGTGCACCGTTTGCATAGATCTGATTTAATTGTAATTTTGGTAATTTTTTGATTCACTGAATACTTCTATGTCCCATTTTGTATCATCCTTCCCCTTTATGTTCAATTCATACCAGACCAATTATATTGACATTGTACTATACAGTTATGGTGATAAATACAGTGTAAATTATCTTTTATAATCACGATTTACTATTCCAAAATGATCATGTACACACTTCAATGCTAATGTATTTGTATTATTTGTTGGTAAATATGTGTCCAATAAAGGTGTTAAGGAAATATTTAATTAATATCCAATTACTATTATTGGCATTTATCTTATAGTATACTTAAGTCACTGTAATAGATATTTCAGATAATTAATTTGCACACAAAGTAATTGTAAAGTATCACAACAGTAGTGTATAAAGTTGGCTGTGTTACATACCTCCATAATACTTTACTAACCCCCCAAAAATATACAGCAAACTGCTTATGTAAAATACAGTAAAGGTTTGCATTTAAATTATGCTATGAACTAAAACTGTACAGTATTGGTATAATACAAAAATTGTATAAAACAATCACATTCAATGTTTTGGGTAGACATTATCCACTGGAGGGCACAATTCTCTCAGCTCTTGGTCACCAATTCGTGCAGTGCTAAAATATTTGACAAATAATTGAACAAATTCCTTACCTGCAAATGAGTTAAATAAATTGTATTAGGTAATAATAGCTGGAGTGATGTTCTGAAGCAGATCCAAGTGTCCTGGGTCTAATTCCTGAGTGGGACATATGGTTGGACCCATTTCATTTCACCTGACGGCTCTGTTCACCTATAGCAGTAGCTGGGTACCCAGCAGGTAAGCAATGGTTATAGAAGAAAGAACTGTAACAGCAGCACCAATCTTTTGTCAATCTGCTAATGTGGCTAGTAATAATTGCATTGATCATGCTGATTTTGAAAAAGTTTAAAACAGAAGAGAAAAACCAAATTTAACAAAACAGAACTACTTGATTATGTGAACAGAATAGTTTGAAGAAAATGAGGCAGGAAGTGTTAAATTCGGCCATACTGATTTTGGGCTTTCACTGTGATAATTACCTCCATGCTACATAACCGGGTCTGCATTTAGGGATAAGCTAAATTCTTTAGGGCCTCATAGTCTGAAGGGGCCTCTTACAATATTTTATTTTTTTCTTTGTTAGTTTTATAAGTATATATAAGTAATGATTTAACATAATTAACAACAATTAACATTAGCAAATTAGACCAGATTATTAAAAATCTAACACTCAATGTAATGAAATATCTCTTTCTGGAGGTCCCTCAAGAGTCTCCCAGGTGCTAGTTGCCTGGATAACTAAATGTATTATATCACAGCAGGCTTCTTAGAGTAATTTAAAAACCTGCCATAGAAGCCAAAATCTAGTCCACTAAAAGAGGCACAGGAATACTAGATCACCCAAACGAAGAGTAAATGCCAAGATTATGCAAAATAAAACAGATAACAGCAAGGAAACCATGACGAGCCCTGATAACAATGAATACATTAGTTTGGTTGTTACCTATGCTGGTTACACACCCTCACTGTCAAGTGCCAGCCATGAGAGCTTGGAGTCAACTGATTGGATATGTGCCACGTCAAACTACAACTGGCACCTCTAAGAGGAGAAAATGCAAAAATAGGAAGCCACTGATCGGAGGGGGACCTACCAGGAGGAAGCATTTCACTACATTAATTTCCATGGAATGTTTACACAAATTTGGTTTGACTTGAGATATGAAATAAATATGTCTGGTGTGGTGCTTATGGATTCTATTATATCTATGACAGAAAGTTTCAGTTCAGGATTAGCATTTAGGAACAAGGTTTTGTACATGTAAACAGCACAAGAGAATGTGTGGAACGAGTGTATGTTTAGCGTTCTGCATCGTTATATTTGCAGTAATACCTAGTGATATGTTTCATTTAAACAGTAATTTCCTGTATTGTTTTAAAACTTATTTAACAATTTGAAATTTGTTTTACCCCTCAGCCCACTGCTCTCCTGCTAGTTTCCTCCACGAATATACAAGTGAAGAGGACTCCCAGGAAGCTGACAATGCTGTAGAACCAGTAGAGTCCAGCCTGCGTGAGAGTTTCTTGCATGGGGCTGTAGAGCTGCAGAGCCAAAAAGGCGATGACAGTTCCAAAGGAGTAGCAAAAGGAAGATGCCTGCCAAATTGCAAATTATGTGTGCATAAATATTATATATTTTATCATATTATGCATATACAGTACAAGAATATTCACCGAAATATTAGATTCAATTATGCATAAGTAATCACAAGGAAAGAAATGAAAAATTTGAGAGCTTTCATGTACTGTATAAAATATCTTTCCTAATGGTCATTTTTTCATTTGTACATACATACACATACAGTATATACTGTTCAGTGATACCTCGGTACTTGAACTTAATTTGTTCCAGAAGGCTGTTTGAGTGCCACTATTTGAGTACAGAATAATTTTTCACAAAAGGAATAATGTAAGTTGGATTAATCTATTCCAGATCCCAAAGTATACACTTATAAAAGCAATATTATCCAGTACTTGAATTTAACAAATTTACAAGCCTAGCATGCATAAATCATACAGAATACCTAAACACTGTAGATGAAATAAATGCAAATTTATTCTCACTTTACTTGTACTTAGGAGAGTTATTGGCATATGTTGAAGGAAGAGGAGGAGAGATATTACTGGTTGGCAGGGAAGTACCCTGTCCAATGATATTTATTTTTACCTGCATTTTAAAACCGTTCTAAAGTGAGACACAGCACTGTCATTCACCGGGTTTAAAACAGTTTGCCACTGTTAAGGGAGTTTGCTACTCCTTTCTTTTCTCCTCCTCTGAAGACAATTCCTCAGCTGCCGTGTGTTGCGACAAACATTCGTACAGTCTAGTGCAGAGCAAATGGTTGACTATCAAGCATTTTTTCTCTAATAAAGTGTTTGTGTGGCAAATTGTTCGAGTTTGGATCTGTTCTAGTGCCGAGGTATCGTGTAATTACATAAGTGTAATTACCAAAGTGTAGTTATAGGATGAGAGCAATGCTTGTAGTGTCCTGTCTTCCCAGCACTCTATATCATATAGAGCTTTGAAACTACAGTACTGACAATTTTGGCCTCAGCACCCCGTTTAACTTGTTCAAACTGTCTACCACTCTATTTGCAAAAAGTGAGCTTTCTAATGTTCTTTCAGCAACTTTGTTTAATAAGCTCAAATCTATGATCTCTTGTTCTTGAAGTTTCAGGTTTCAAGAATTTTGTTTTCAATTTTGTCAATTTCCATTGTTATTTTGTACACAGTGATCATATCCAACCCATTCTCCTGTTTGGATTGTAGTTTTGTAAATATGTGCACCATAGTACAAAGACTGACATACTAAGTAATTAGATAGTAGAACTTTGCACTATTCACTTTATAGTTGGAAAAAATGAAGCTAAAAACAAACTTAAATATTCCTAGGCCTAGTATAGCACACACATGTACTTTATTAGGCCTCGGATATTGTGTATTAGGGCCTAGGAAGGTTAGGTTAGTTTAATTTGTCTTTGCAACATACGTAGAAAATAGTTTCCAGTTTGTTCAACTCAATAGTACCGATTTCTACTTTCTAATTGCATTGTACGTTTTTTTTTTTTTTTTTTTTGAGATATATACAAGAGTTGTTACATTCTTGTACAGCCACTAGTACGCGTAGCGTTTCGGGCAAGTCCTTAATCCTACAGTCCCTGGAATACGATCCCCTGCCGCGAAGAATCGTTTTTTCATCCAAGTACACATTTTACTGTTGCGTTAAACAGAGGCTACAGTTAAGGAATTGCGCCCAGTAAATCCTCCCCGGCCAGGATACGAACCCATGACATAGCGCTCGCGGAACGCCAGGCGAGTGTCTTACCACTACACCACAGAGACTGCGACATATATGCCACGGAGTTGGCATATATACTATGGTCCTCATCGTTACTATAAAGACAGTACTGTACTACCAAAACAAGAGGCTGAGCTGTCATATCACCACTTTCTCCTGTCTTCCAGTTTTAACATATTTAATGTCTCCAACCTCTCCTCATAGCTCTTGTCTTTCAATTCTAGAAGCAATTTTATTGCATGCCATTGCACCTTTTCCAGTTTGTCGATATGCTTCTTGAGATATGAGCACCATACAACAGCTGCATATTACAATTTTGGTCTCTCAAGTCATGAATAAAAGTGATTCTGAAGATGGAAAGCGCAGCTTGTGCTCCTCGCACATTGTCCTTTATGTGATCTTCAGGTGACAGTCTACTATCCAAAACCACCCCTAGAGCTCTTTCTTTGTGAGAGTTTTTAAAGTCCTTTTCATACAATTTGTAGGTTGTGTAGAATCTATTTTCTCCTATTCTACATTCCATAACATGGCATATATTCACATTGAATTCAATTTACCACACGGTGCACCAAGTGATTAACAATTATATTATCAAGGTCAATTTGAAGCGCATGACAATCTATTTCCATCTTCCCAAGTAGCTTAGCATCATTAGCAAAAAGTTCATATAAGCAGTAGACGAGTCACAATAACGTAGCTGAAGCTGTGATGACCAAACTACAATATTAACCGTACAATATTCAATAATAGCAAAATATAGGTTGACATTTAAAAGAAATTGGGTATTATCAGTCTATATTGGCCAAGGTAGTGAGGTGCGAGCAAGAAATTCTGCCAAAGTTAATATATCACTGGAATAATTTATTGCTACGTGTACTTCCAACCGGGTATGTAAATGTCTTCAATATTTTCAAATATTGAAGATATTATATATGCAATTCATATATTTACAGAAGATATAAAATATTCAATATTCTTCAAATATACTCCTCGACTTCGCATTGAGTTGGTTTGCAGTGGTAGACCCCCATGCACAGATGCCATAATTAAGATAGGGGTAAATTAGTGCATAATATAGTGAGAGGAGAGCAGAGTTAGGAACATAATATCTGATTTTGGAGAGTATACCAACTGTCTTAGAGACTTTCTTAGTTATGTGTTGAATGTGGGTGCTGAAGTTGAGTCTCTTGTCTAGGAATAGGCCAAGAAACTTGCCATCATCTTTATTACTGATGTTAATGTTGTCTATCTGTAGCTGAATTGCATTTGATGATTTGCTTCCAAATAAGATGTAGTAAGTCTTTTCGATGTTTAATGTTAGTTTGTTCGTTGACATCCATAAGTGGACTTTTTTTAATTCATTATTCACAACATTATTTAGTGTATGTGGGTTGAGGTTTGAAAAGATGGAAAGCGCAGCTTGTGCTCCTCGCACATTGTCCTTTATGTGATCTTCAGGTGACAGTCTACTATCCAAAACCACCCCTAGAGCTCTTTCTTTGTGAGAGTTTTTAAAGTCCTTTTCATACAATTTGTAGGTTGTGTAGAATCTATTTTCTCCTATTCTACATTCCATAACATGGCATATATTCACATTGAATTCAATTTACCACACGGTGCACCAAGTGATTAACAATTATATTATCAAGGTCAATTTGAAGGGCATGACAATCTATTTCCATCTTCCCAAGTAGCTTAGCATCATTAGCAAAAAGTTCATATAAGCAGTAGACGAGTCACAATAACGTAGCTGAAGCTGTGATGACCAAACTACAATATTAACCATACAATATTCAATAATAGCAAAATATAGGTTGACATTTAAAAGAAATTGGGTGTTATCAGTCTATATTGGCCAAGGTAGTGAGGTGCGAGCAAGAAATTCTGCCAAAGTTAATATATCACTGGAATAATTTATTGCTACGTGTACTTCCAACCGGGTATGTAAATGTCTTCAATATTTTCAAATATTGAAGATATTATATATGCAATTCATATATTTACAGAAGATATAAAATATTCAATATTCTTCAAATATACTCCTCGACTTCGCATTGAGTATGTGGCGGCCGCCTCCCAGGTAAGTCCCTTTTTTCCTTATCTTTAGGTATATAGCTCCAGGAAGCCGTTGGGGCTCCCCACACAGAAAATCAACATTGAATGTAATGAAACGCTATTTTCTGGGTGAGCCTCGGAGGCTCGCTGGCAACCCTCCCTTCCCTCTGATTGGCAGACATATTGTTTGATGTTTAACTCCCGAACTGGAGTGCCAGGTAGCTGGCACGGGGAGGTGAGGGCTGCGCAGACAAGCAGCGTGGTGGTGGAGAGCGACTTTTGCTTGTTTCCTTGGGATTAGATGGAGTTCTGCCTCTCTTTTTGGTTTTTAATTTTAATTTTCTTACCATGTGGGGTTTGTTTTGTTATGCTACCTTCCTGGGTGCCAATCCCAGTCAATGGCAGATAAGGAAAACCCCAACCACAAGGGTGTTTTCCAGGGTCATTCCTCCCTGCAATTCTCCGAAGGGGCCAGGTTCTGGCTCGTGGTCCCTGGTAGGCTGAACTCCATAGACTAATGACCCAGTCTAATGCATCACATATTAGCCTGATAGCTCTAGGGAGCCATAGGGGCTCCCCACAGAAAAAAAGCTTTTACACACAAATCACATTTACCTGGCCACGGATGTTTGTAGGAAAGTACTCTGCAGCGAGGGTGAAGGGGACAGGGTGAGCGCCAAAATTGATGGCAAACATTACCACCAGTACACATGTCAGAGGTATCCAGTTCAGCCTGAAATTCGCAATGTACTGTAATATAAAATCCTCAGATTCACACACAAATAATACCATGCATGCTTTCTCTTAATTTAATGAAATTAACATATTTACAGTACTTTATAAAATTGGCTGGCAACTAGATTATCTCAAATAGTAAGTGGGTGTAATCATGTTTGATCAATACATAACCTAGCCAGGGACATTTCACACTTTATTTTGGAGGTTAAAGGAAGGCCATGGTAACAAGTCATATTAATAGTACATAATTTGTGATTTATGATTAACTCAAAGTTTTTGAATTGTACTATAACTGACAGGGTAAATATCAGAATAAAGAACTCCCTTTTGGTATCGGAACAAGCATAAATGACCTCTTTTGTGATAGCATAGTGAGGTCATCAGAGGTTTGTCTTTGAACCCAGCAAAATTCTGTGCATATACTAAAAATGATGAATAGCTAGTGTTGTATTTTAATCACAGTGGGATGTGAAAGATTAAAAGACTATACAAGTCGATATAAACGAGCTACCAGAAAGTATACAAACTTATAAAACATGTTGCTAGTAGGGAAGATAAGAAACCTCCACAATTGTTATGCTCTTCAAGAAGACCTGTACAATACCAAGTGCATGGAGTAACACTTGACAAATGGATAAATGCCATGTTATGAAATGTGGAATAGGAGAAAATAGGCCCCACTCAACCTACAAATTATGTGAAAAAGCCTTAAAGAAATCTAATAGAGATCAAGGGGTGGTTCTAGACAGAAAAGTGTCCCCCGAGCGACAGTTTGTCACCCACTGTCACCCACAAAGAACACATGCGAGGAGCGAAATGCTACACTTTCCAACTTTAGAATCTCTTAAATGCATGGATGGCAAAATATTAAATAAGAGCTGTTAACGACCTTTATTCCAAAATTGGAATATGAATTGTTTGTATGGTGCAGAAGACGGGTTCTATCTTAGGAAACAAAGCTACTGAAAAACATTGCAAAGTTAATTTATGCAAACAGTGGTAGACTGTCAAAACAAGTTAAGTGAGAAGGTAGTGGAGGACAAACTGTCAGTAGCTTCAAAGTGTCATATGACAAAGAGCACTGGGAAGAGACGACACTTAGCTCTCATTCTGAACTACACTAGGTAATTACAATGACAAATCCTGGTACATGAAATTAGACCAGACAAATCTTGGTACATAGACCAGAGCCAGACCCTTCCCCTTACAGAGACACAGGGAACAGGGGGATTCACTTACACCTAGAAAACATCCAGAAAGTAAGCGAAGCTATTATACAGACGACAAGATTCAAAGAAAGTGTTGACCAGACCACACACTAGAAGGTGAAGGGACGACGACGTTTCGGTGGGGTGGTACGCAGGCAATGGCGAACTATATCAACCATATAAAGAGGGGTGATCATTACAATATTTTACATTACACTGCATTGTAATGTCAAATATATTAAACCAATGGGCTGTGCCAATGTACCTGCTGTAAGTGTTGTCCTCGGGTTCAGCAGCTTCGGCGAGATGAACGTATATACCAAGTAACATCAAGGCAGACGAGTTGATGGCATGAGAGGTAATCAAACAGTAGCGACGACCCACATGGTCAACTAATGCAAGAGACATCATTGCCCCCACGACTCTGACAATACCAACAATGATTGTTGCCATGTCTGGATCCCATGGGGCTCCAGATGCTTGCAGAATTCTTGCTGTATGTACCATAAAAATGTAGTTACCACAGAACTGCTGGAAAAAGAATAGCATAACTATGACAACCACTCGCTTTACCACTTGGATCTTCAGGAGTTTTCTCCAGCCGCCACTTGTGGCACGATTATGCGTCTCAAGTTGTGCTACTTCTGAGTCAATGTCTGCATATGGACCTCGAAGACTCCTCAGGATTCTTGAAGCCTCTGATTTAAAACCTTTTACCACCAAAAAGGATGGTGAATCTGGTAAAAAGAAAGTACACAAGAAGAGGATGATAGGAGGCAAGGCACAAACTAGTGCTAAATGATGCCACTTAAGGATGTAACCCATCCACACAGTGTAGAGGCCACCCAAAACGATTGCAATTGTGGGAATAGAAGCCATCGTGCCCCGAACGCTTGTGTCTGCCAGCTCGACGACGTAGAGTGTACCAGCCACTGAGGATGCCCCACACGCCATGCCCAGCACACACCTGAAGTGGGACAAATACTTCAGTAATTCAATGGAAACATTTTTTTTTGTATGGAAAGCATAAGAAAGAGAAGTTGACTAGCATAGTGAATCTTGGTGGAATTATAGGTAAGAATAGTTGAACCTTATACATCAAACGTTTATATAGTAAGTTTTTCACATAACACACTTCCATTTTTATCTCGGGTCACACAATTCAAGTTTAGAACAAATATATAATGTCCACATGCTCCATCAATACAAAAAAAACAGACTTAGTTAACCATAGACGTATGTACTCGCCTAGTTGTACTTGCAAGGGTTTAGTTTTGGCTCTTTAGTCCTGCCTCTCAACTGTCAATCAACTGGTCAACAGGTTCCTGAGCCTATTGGAATTTATCATATAGCATACTTGAAACCGAGTATGGAGTCTGCCTCCACCACATCACTTCCTAATACATTTCATTTGTTATCTTTATGGCTCATCTGGGTACTCAGTTTCCACCTGTGCCCCCTTGTGATTGTGCCCCTTGTGTTAAATTGTCTGTCTATCCTATCAATTCCTCTGAGAATCTTATATGCGGTGATCATGTGAGGTTTAGTTCACATAATCTCTCCTTGTGCGCTTCAGGGGACACGTCTGGCATGATATCAAACCCCAGGTCTTTCTCACACTCATTCTCTCTCCCGCTCTCACACACACACTATATATATAGGTGAGTGTGAGTTAGTGTGTGTGTGTGATTACCTACGTGTAATTAGCTAAGTGTAGTTACAGGATGAGAGCTACGCTCACCATTGCTCATCACACTTGTTATGTATTGTGAGTACATTGTTGAGTTTTACTGTGTGTTCGCTACATAGGATTAACAGAATTAAGGTATTATTAAAACATTAAAGTTTTTATATTTCCACGTATATCATTAATAAGGAATGTATTTTCACCTAGAAATAATTGGCAGTGATAAATGTGACATGCTTAAAGTATTTTGGAATGCCAAAACACAGGTCAGAACAAAGCTTGAGACAGTAGATGTGTTGCAAGAAGAGTTTGTGCTTGAGGGACAGCTGATGGGGTTATCTTGAGATGATTTCGGGGCTTAGCGTCCCCGCGGCCCGGTCCTCGACCAGGCCTCCTTTTTGTTACACATCCCCAAGAAGTAGCCCGTAGCAGCTGTCTAACTCCCAGGTACCTATTTGTTGCTAGGTGAACAGGGGCATCAGGGTGAAAGAAACTCCGCCCATTTGTTTCCGCCTCCGCCGGGGATTGAACCCGGAACCTTAGGACTATGAATCCCGAGCGCTGTACACTCAGCTGTCAAACCTCTATTTGCTTATTTGCTGCTCAAGTAGGAAAGGTTAGAAATGACATTTTAATTGAACTTGATTACTTCACATTTATATGAACATTACCTCTAGTAGTTTAATCATAAGCACATTACCTTGCTGTAAGAAGAAGGGAAGGGTTGGGAGCGAGGGCATTGGCCAGCCAGCCTAGGAGGTAGGGAACCACCACCCACTGCATGGCTCTCAGCCTCCCCAGCTCCGACACCACCCAGCCACACCCCCACGCCCCCAGCAGCGACCCCAGCGATACCAAGCTTCCTGTTGCAGTAGCTAAGGCTGTACAGAGTTGTTGCAACATATTCAATGGGTGTGCAATTAACACCCAAAATAAAATTAGCACATGCATACTTAATCCACGGCAAATCTCTTAGATAATATAATATAATAATGATATGTGTAGGGGGACAGGCAGTTAGTGTATTTGTACACATTAAGCTTGTATCATGGTTACCCCCCCCCCCCCCTCCTAAAAGGCCGAATTACTGACCTCGCCCAGGATGCAATCCCCGCAACAAGCTGACCAACTCCTGAGTATATACTTTACTGCTAGGTGAACAGCGGCATTAGGTGAGCATCTAAGAAACAGTACTATTTTCAAATGGTCCAGGACCCATAAACATACAAGAGGGCCAGGACCCTAGGCCTTGTTTCAGCTGATTGAGCTGATTGGATGTAGGCCCAGGAGAGAGGTGGAGCCAAGACTCCACCTCCAGTGTGTGGTCAATGGAAACGTCCCATTGGTCAACATACTTTAGCTACGTTATTGTGACTCATCGCCTGCCTAGGACTCCATCTTGAAGGATACGAGACAAAAATATAGTTAGTGTGATCTTGGGAGAGCTTGAGAAGGGGGGGGGAGTGATCAACCAGGAGGGGGGGGCACAACACCGCTGAAAAGCAGCATAAAGGTATTTCTCAGAGGTTCCTATAAAATTTTTATTCCATTACCTTGCCTCTAAGGATAGGATGTCTCTAGCTTAGGGTTAATTAATCTGCATTTAAATAAAGTGATTGTTAGCGGTGACATTTACCTCGTGTTACAACTTTTCCTTGAACTCATTTTTTGTTAGCTTACTTCTCTTTTACTGTGAAGTGTTTGCCCCCACACATTTAAATAAATTTTGTCTAAATCATTTTAAGTTTTGCACAAAAGGCTTTGTATAATAGTGGTTTCATTAGTATGTGTAAAACCTGTCCCCACTATTTACCTGAATATTACTGAGAGTCACTAACGCATTAGTGGCCTCGACGAGGATAGGAAGCTGGCGGCTTGTCAAATGTCCCCCCCCCCTTTGGGGACAAACTCATTTGTCCTGATGAGTTTTTCCAGGTGGGCATTAAAATTGAAAAAAAGAGTTTTGGCATTTACGGCTCCGGCTGCTAGGCATTCCCCTGATAATGCCCTCCTTTCCCTCCGGCGGGTAGGCGGTTCCATGGGTTTATAACCCAGTGGGTGAAAAACTATCTCCCGTTCTCAGTCTTACATCATGGCTTCTCGAGCTTGAAACCGTTACTCTTGTTTGTGTCACATTTGACCTTCTGAAGAAATTGTCCGGGATCAACATCCTACAAGTTGTTCAGTATTTTAAAAGTTTCGATTAGACCGGCCGTGTCATGCTTGGTGGGCAGTGTTGTTAACCCAGAGGCCCTCAACCGCTCTTGGTGTGAGAGTTGACTTAGTTCTGGAATTATTTTTGTTGCCTGGTCTTGAACGTTCTCGAGGGCAGCTATGCTCTTATGAAGATGAGGTCATCAGGGCAAATGGGGGAACTTTGACAAGCCGCCGACTTCCGGTTCTCTATGAGTTCACTAGTGTGTTAGCAGAGAGTTAAGAACAGGCAAGTATAACCACACAGTATCCTCACCTGTCATGTCCATTTGAGAAGTGGTTAGGACCATTTCAGTGCCAACCAGTGTGGTGTTGTCTCTGGCCAGGTCGGAGAGTGCCGGTGAAGGCCAGGTTAATGTGGCACCCACGGAAAAGTGTCCCATTGATGCCATGACCACCAGACCAGTCTGTGACCAAAGGACAAGATGGAGAATGAGAGGCAGAGGGTCAGCTGCTGAAGAAATACTCATCTAAAGGCACCAAGCCTGGAAGATTATACAATATAACACTGGAGTAAAATATGTGAGAAACTGCAGGCTACAGAGTTATCTTCTTGAGGTTATCTCGAAATGATTTCGGGGGCTTAGCGTCCCCGCGGCCCGGTCCTCGACCAGGCCTTCTTTTTGTTACACATCCCCAGGAAGCAGCCCGTAGCAGCTGTCGACGGGCAGCTACCTATTTACTGCTAGGTAGCGGTAAATAGGTAGCATTTACCTATTACTCATAAGTACCTATTTACTGCTAGGTGAACAGACGCACCAGGGTGAAAGAAACTGTCCATTTGTTTCCGCCTCCACCAGGGATCGAACCCGGAACCTCAGGACTACGAATCCGAAACCCTGTCCACTCAGCTGTCAGACCTCTGGCCACTGTCAGGCCAGTAGCTGCGGTATCACACCAGTAGCCGTGATAGAAGGCATGATGGCCTGTTTTCTCCTACGCTCCCTTGCTATCCTCTTCTTATTCCTATTACTATCTCCTTCTCATTCGGTGGTTATAATAGGAGCTGCCTCGTATGGGCCAATAGGCCCTCTGCAGTTCTCATTATTACTACTATCCCCTACACCTTACTTTCCTCCTCGGCTCTCTCTTGCCTATTTATTGCCTATCTCTACCTCCTCATCACAATCGACTTGAGAATGGTCCAGGACGGACCGAAACGTCGTCGTCCCTTCACCTTCTAGTGTGTGGTCTGGTCAACATACTTTAGCCACGTTGTGACTCATCGCCTGCATGTAATAGGTACATTCGAGTGTAGAGATATGGCAGCAGAGAGCACATACTGCCTTAGAGTAATTAGTAACAGTTTGGTGAAGAAATGGCAACAGTTGTAGTAGATATAGCAATACTTCGTGATAGGTCATCGCAAGGTAGGTATGACAGAAGTTAGGTGTTGATAGTAATACAGTTGTTGGTAGATATGGAGGAATTTAGTTGAAGAAGCAGTGACCAATAAAATATAAGCGAAGTCTTCAATCAGAAGGGTGTGCTAACTTAAGATTCATTACCAACAGTGACTCGCAGGCTCGCTATGAGTCAAAAGTTATGAGGCCAAAATCAAATAATCAAAACATTATATTGAAGACACAAAGTCCTCTGGCCAAGGCTTAAAAACAAAAGTCAAATTACCTGTCGGATGAGGCGAATCCGTCTTTCCCTCTTTGATTCCTTTCTGGCGCCTGGAAGCTGCTCAGCCTCTGGTGGTGGGGTAAAATAATAACTTAAGAATGGTACATTTATTACCCTGTTACCAAACCAGTATTTACCCAGGTCTTGGGCCAACAGGTCTACAGTTTCCTGAATTCTGGTGTCCTTACATGGGAAGGGGAGTCACTTAACATAAGTTAAGGCAGGCCGCACAAATGCCTATGTACCAACATGAGTTAATAAAGGCAACTCTCTCCTGGTGCCTTTGTCACGACCCCTCTCCGCACACGGGTCGTATAACTGAGGCGGTCCACGACCCCTCTCAGGTAGCTGTGATCAGGTGTCAGGTCCAGGGAGCCTCGAACCACCTGCTCTCTCGCCGCTCTCTTCAACACCATCCTTCTACGCGGTCCTCTACTCTAACTTGTTATATTGAAAAATCTGAAATAACTTTTTGGTTATGAAACATTCAAATTAGTCTTCTGAACTTTGCCCACCCGGAAGGGCAAAGTTTCCATCTCCCAGTGAAGGGACTGGCTAGGTCGTCCTGTTACTCGACCCATTTATGCAGACAAGATATGAGGACATAAGAGTAAAGGAAACTGCAAAAAGATCTATCGGTTTATACAAAGCAACTCCTGTGTATACCCACCCGTGTGTGGGTATACAGCTGCGTATACCCACCCGTGTGTGGGTATACAGCTGCGTATACCCACCCGTGTGTGGGTATACAGCTGCGTATACCCACCCGTGTGTGGGTATACAGCTGCGTATACCCACCCGTGTGTGGGTATACAGCTGCGTATACCCACCCGTGTGTGGGTATACAGCTGCGTATACCCACCCGTGTGTGGGTATACAGCTCCTCCTCACCCGGGTGTGTGGATATACAATTGTTGGTATATAAAAACTGTTGAGCACGTTTCCTTTCACCTGATGCCTCATAAGAATTGTGGAAACCTCAGAAAACTGATCTGTAGGTATTTAAAGCCAACGAATCAATGCATAGATGCTTGGAACAAGGTGAATAGAATTCCGGGATTTACCTTTAAAAGCATTAACAATAAAACAAAGTTATTTGTATCTTGCTCTTTGTTTCGCTCCCATTAGATTAGGCAGCTCCATGTTGGTCGCCATACTGTAGGATGGACAAATTCATTTGAACACCGTCAGCAAAGGACGACAAAGTTAATCCCCGGAATTAGAAACCTTCCACGTGAAGAGATATATACGTGAGAAAGTTTAATTTTCATTCTCTTGAAAGATGGAGAGTTAGTGGAGACATGACTGAAGTGAACAGGCGGATGAAAGGGTATACGGGGGATATTAATAAGATATATTTATCCACACAAAACAGAAAACTTGAAGACGTATTTTGCAATTTGCACGGAAGGGGCTAATCAAATGTGTCGACCACGTCACTCACTTTACACTTTGGTGAAGAAGAATATCCTTAATTTGTTTCTTATCAAGAGCACAATAATTTATTGCATTTGGTCTGTTCTCATGCATCTGACGAATTGTCTCCGAACATCGACTCCATGATAAGATAAAGCTACAGCTGGTTCCACAGACCTGCATTAAGGGAGAAAGTTATCTAGATAAATGATAAAGACACACCAATAAAGGATGAGAAATATTACTTACATTTCGTACCTTAGTCACGATAGTTGGCAAGGAGCAATAGTGTGGAGCAGCTTTTAGATCAGTGGGATTCTTTAAGAACTCCTTACCAAATAGCTTCTTCCTCTGGTGATAAATATATTGCAAGGCATCTATTTTCAATGCACTGAAATGCAATTATAAAAGTAGCTATTTTCAATGCAATACGCCATGCACGCAACACATCTCTGCCACTTGCCAAGAGCCCTATTCATCCAGTTTTAATTATATAAGATGACGCAAGGTTTGTTTTGATTGTACTTGAGAGGATGTACGATCCATAAATTTAGAATTTTCTAATTCAAGTGAAATGAGGATTGTGGTGGAGTTGTAGCCAGGCAGGTTGATTTTTCAAAATGACGGTGGCTGGTGTCGTCGCCTGGGGGCAAGATTTTGGTGCCCGTAGATGCAAGGTTCCAGGTGCCCCGGATGAAGGACTGACATCAATGGTTGAAAGTGACATGAATGGCTGAAAGTGACATGAATATGCCAATGACAGAGTGACCCGAGGTAACGTGACGAGCGAGAGGGACTAGAGTGATGTCTCATTTGCAGTTGTATGGGCCAGTCGAGGAGGATGTGGTGTTGGTGGATTCTTTTCTCTGTCACTGCACCCCTGGTTTGTCGGAAGTAGATTGTCTTGAGCTTGTGTGGGAGTCTGTAGGAGCTTTGGGGGGTTCGTTCGCTCATTTCGTACCGAGTGTTCCTGGGTCGGATGGTCTCCCGGTAGAACTTTATGTCTCGTTTTGGGATGTGCTTGGTTCTGACTTTATTGATATCGTTCAGTGTTGCTTAGCCAGAATGTTGCTCTCTAGTTCGCAGTATGATAGGATAGTGCAAGTTTCTTCTCGAATTGGATGCCGATTACAATGTTAAATGTAGATTATAAGATCATCTCGAAGTCGTTAGCTGAGCCTTTTAGGTCGGAGGTTGGATCCTCGGTTTCTGTGGAGCAGTTTTGTGGGGTTCCTGGTAGGTTGTTAGTTCAGTGTAATGCTCTTTTCCGGGACGTGCTTTTATGTGTGTGTCTGAGTTCAATCTACCTGCGGCGATGATTAGTTTGGACTGGTCTAAGATTTTTGATTGCGCGTTGATTGCCTTTGTGTTGCAGGTCTTTGAGCGGCTTGGCTTCCCTCCCCTATTTGTGGGTTGGATTCGCATGTTGTATGGGGGATGTTGTAGTTGGGTTTGTGTTAATTTTTTTTTGTGCTCCCTTTGCTCTTCGTCAGTCGGTACGGCAAGGGTGCCCCGTGTCGATGCTCATTTACATGTATTTACAGGAGCCCTTTGTTCGTGTGGTGAGGGCTCGTAGTTCTATTGTCTCTCCACGGTTGCCGAATGGTCTAGTTTTGAAGGTGCGTGGTTATGCAGATGACAGTCTTCTTCGTGGCTTCAGAGGGTTCCGTGGTTGGGTGTGCAGACTGTGGTGCGGTGGTTAGAATTGGACACGGGGGGCTGTTGTCCATCATGACAAGTCGTATATCATGGGGTTGGGGTATTGGGCTTCTCGTTCCGTGTCGGCAACCCATCCTCGACTCAAGTCCATTACATTCAGCGGTCAACCCCACAGACGCATTCATATATTTTAACATGCTGTTCATTCAAAACGGGAATTTTCTCAAGTATAAATTAATATTATAATATATTGGCATATTGTGTATAAATAGGCATAGGTTAGGTTAGGTTAGGTGTTTAGGTTCTGTTGGCGATTATTTGTATTTGTAGTACGTGGGTGAAGCGTTTATAGCGTTGTGGTTCGAACAAAATTCGTCAGTGAAGCACTTGTTCCGGATATGTTCGAACGTCAGCAGTTGTGAGTCGTGTGTAAACCGCTTTTCATTCATAAACAGGGGGTTTGGCGGGTGCATGGAATCACTTTTGGATCTTTGTTTGGAGGACGGGCTGGTGTCGGAGAGGTCTTGGTTTCCTGTAGTTACGCTGGTTCGGGTTCTAGGGGTCACTTTGCTTTGCTTGTATGAGCAATCGTTGGCGTGGAATTGGGATGCGGTTTTGCGGGCGGTGGGGGTAACGATGGGATTGCTTTTCAAGCGCCGTCTGATGAATTATTAGCGGGTGGTTATTGTTTCTTGTAAGGTTTTGTCGAGGGTTTGGCTTATGGCTCAGTGTTTTCCATTAGATAGGCAGCGGGCCCGCACTTTGGAGTGTCGTTTATAGGTATGTGTGGTGCAGGCGCTATCAATTGGTTCCTCGTTCTTCGCTGTGTTTGTGGGTGGAGGAGGGCGGGGTCAGCATTCCGGATGTGTACATCAAATCGTTGGCGTTGTTCTGGGGGTTGGGGTTAAGGGGGGGGGGTTGAACTCGTTGGTTTTATATTTTTATTCTATGCGGTTTAGCAAGCTGGTCGAGTTCGATGATTGTCGGGAGGTGGCCTTTTCTAACCCCCCCTTCCCTCCCCGGTTTACTCCTGGGCCCGTTATGATTCTTTAGGCTCTGTCGGTTTCCGAAGTTCATGTCGGGAGGTGTATAGGGACGCTTTTTTGTCGGGGAGGGGCGGGGAGGGAGGTGTCATGAGGTGGAGGGGTTGTACACGTGTTTTCACTGGGGGGGGGGGTAGATTTGGTTGGCTTTGCGAGGGCCGTGTCTCGTGCCGCAGCAACGGTAGCTTATGTTTCGTGTGTTACATGAGACGTTACCGACGAATGTGCGGCTATTCATGTTCGGTTTGGTTGCTTAGGACGAGTGTGAACTGTTACGTACTCCTAGCAGAATACGTATATAAATTTAAAATAAATTTTATTTTATTTTATCATTGCATGTATATGTACACACATTGTGTTTTGTAAATTGTCGTATAGTGTGGCAGCGTTAGTGGAGACAGGAGCGGGGTTGCGTTGCACACGTCTATTACCTGATTGATACGGGAAAGCTGGACCTGTTCAGTTTGGGAGTTCCAGATGTCACTTTTATTTAGTATATAATTGTTATATTCTGTAATTAAACAGGTGGCATTATACTTATATATTTTGTAAGTAACTATTATCTGTAATTTGCAGTCTTATGTGTTTTGAGAACAAGTGGTTGTTCAATTAGTTTTAAATATTAAAAAGTCCTTAGTTTCCATCCCTCATCCTGGGATGAGGCAGACGGGAGGTGAGAATGTGGGTAGCGCCAGAGCGAGAGTCAGTAGCTTCGGGGAACCAGGAGGAGTAACATGTGGGAGATAAGTCTGTTATTTCTTGTTGTGCCATAGTTTACTATTATATATTACGTGCAATGACAATACTTTCATTTATTGTATAAGTTAACTTAACCATCTGTGTTTTTATATTATACTGTCTTGAATATATATCTATATAATATTTTGTATCTATTCTTCAGTCCTAAAGGAAGAGTTTTATTTATGTGCTCATTACTTATCAAGGGGTTATACTGGTGACGCGCTTTAGAGAGCAGCAGTGGTATCCCTAGACGTAATTAAAGCTTGGCTGCTGTAGGGTCATGAGCCGTAACGAACGATAGGTAACATGAACATTGTGGGGAGAGTGAATAGCAGTTGCATGCCTTTTATGATTGTAGTAAGGTTCAGGGTTTGGTAGACTGGTTGCGGAAGATGCTTGTGACTTTTTTGCGGGCCCGGGTTGCGGGTGCATGTGTTGCGATTTTTGTTTTTATCGTTTCCTCGGGGGTCCAGGAGGGTTCGGAACACGCTCTGGGTTTTAATTACAGATTATGTGTTTTTCTTATGGGTTGAGCGTTTGGAGGGGTACGATTTGGGTCGGACTGGAGGCAAATATCTCCAGTCGACCAACAAATTGGGCCACATTTGACCCGTGTCACATTGATACCTGACGCCACCAACAGCCAAACACAGATAACTGCCTCGTCATAGCACTAAGGATCAGCTGACGTCATAAACTACATCCCGCCACACCGTGCAGCAATATATTATCTCTAACACGCGCCTCTTCTTTTTACACAGTCTAAGTTACTGCCCCGCTCCTGTGGCAGGCAAGTCCACTACGGGCTCACCATAGCCCGTGCTACTTTGAACATTTTGTTCCGAATAGCCGAATCAAAAAACAAAGAGCCTCTCTAGTCGCCGCTCCTCTATCAACAGCACAACAAACACGAAACCTTGTCATTGTCGCGTCTCCCAACATTTATCCTCGTGCAATTAAACCCTTCATGCAAACTGCACCCACCATCAATAATAAGAAGAAGCAAATGATCAGGTGACGCTATAAACAACATGGAGTCCTCGCCGCCAAGGGCATCAGGTCTTAAAACATGTGGGGTTTAGTCGCCTCGACCTTGTACCATCTGAAAACAAAATGACTTCCAAACGTTGCCAAGTAAACATTAACGTGCCATTATGACGCGTCTGTCAACACTGTCACTCGTGCAGTCACCACCAGAGGATGATTCACATTAACTGCTCGTACCATGAAGACGAATAATGAAAGACAAGTTGAAAGCACATTAAGTCAGAGCGTATGCGCAAACATGACGGGTAATAATTCAGAAATCTGTACCCTAAAAATGTAGCAAATTTACATTTTTAATCTTATTTTGTATTTATTTGTACTTTTCTTTGTCAAAGAACACTATGATGAATTTTTGAGCGTTCATTTTATTTTTACACTTAATTATTGCGGGCACCCAAGATCCCCAGATCTTGCCTTAGGCCTATCCAGCCCATTCGTCCTTGACTGATAAGCGAATCAAACTGTGTAGCTAGCTCACTACAATGTTGCTTACAGTTAATCAATCATTATGCTTGGAGACTCCAATTCTTAAACCCATTGTTGATATATACATTAAGCTGTATAACTAGCTTGTCAAGACTATCTTAACAAAATAAATTTGGGGGACGATGAGTCACAATAACGTGGCTGAAATATGTTGACCAGACCACACACTAGCAAGTGAAGGGACGACGACATTTCGGTCCGTTCTGGACCATTCTTAAGTCGATGAGAATTTGGGGGTCGAGTTCCTGGTTGCATTATGTGCATGTGTATCCTCCTTCACTACCACCCACAGGATGAGCATGGGTTGTTTAACAAGTGAACTAAAAGATGCGTCGAAGCCGTAAACAAAAACACAGTTAATAGTCGATGCTATTTCCATCCAGACTTAATGGCAGAAATGACAAGGCATAATGGATTCAAGAGGTGTTATTGCACTTGAAGGCCGACAGTTAAAATGGAGATCCAGGAGCTGAAGCATGACTCGACAAAATAGTCCGACTCCGAGAGTCCACCATACGTAACCCTTCATAACTGCCCTACAGAATAGGTATTCAGGTGCAGAATTAATTAAAATGTAGCAACTTACCTACATGGTTCAAGGCTATACTTTCTGTTTCCTCTGGCATCCTCCAAAGTGCCAAGCAAGCTTCTGTCTAACAATCTCAAGAGTATCTGAGCACTTCAAGTGTAGCAAGCTCACCAGAGCAACACCCTCCCTTCTCCGTGGCTGGGAGGCGACTGGTTCATACGCTCGTTACAAAGAAAACGGAAGACTATACCAGGATTATTTTTTTTTGTGCCTAGTGGTTGCCAGGATCAGGTTGGGTTACCGTTACCTGTGGCAGGCGGCTACAGGTGACGGATCTTCCAATCTTGAGCACTCCAGGTGCAAACTCTGTGAGCAGGAACTGCGGCATGATCTCCCACACTACATCACCGAATGCCCAGACCTTTCAAACCCGTTGGTATGAGGTACTTGGAGCTTTGAAATTAATTTATTCACTCTCGTGTTTATGTTATCCTCATAATGCACCCGGAGTCTGCCAGTGCAGACTACTTATCACATGCCTCTGTACGACTAACCATCCTGTGCGATGGGGATTTTTTAGCATCACATAGCTAGCTTTTTGACACACTGTTTTCCCCTTCATGTAGTCTAGGACAGCTGCACAAATACACATGTACCTAAATGTGTTAATAATAATAAAAGTGCCTAACATGGCGGCATGTTTGGGAGATCAAGGTTCACCCACCACGAGTGTATACTCTTCCAAGACAGACTTGAGTAAGCTTAGAATAAGCTTAGTCCTAACAACCAGTAAGCTTTTGTGGCCGTGTTTGAGGCTTTTCTAAATGTTTCATTTACAACTATTGTTGCTAAACTCATTGTACTGTTGTACAATGGATTGTACATTGTCCATTGTACCGCCTCCATTGTACTGTTGTACAATGGAGGCGACTCAAGGGTTTTGCTCAAAGCCTATGTCACGTCATACGGGTTGTAGAATCCTAAGTCGGTCAATCGTCTTAGGACCACGTGGCGTGGAGTTGGCTTTAGTAAAAGTTTTGGAGTCCCTTGGTAGAGAATAAAAAAGTAAGAATACGGGTAGAGAGGGGGAGAAGAAGGAAGGATCGTTCGAGAACACCCCCCCCCCCGTGTTACACTGGTGCTATGGTCCAAGATGTTACTGGTGCTATGGCCCAAGATGTTACTGGTGCTATGGCCCAAGATGTTACTGGTGCTATGGTCCTAGATGTTACTGGTGCTATGGCCCAAGATGTTACTGGTGCTATGGCCCAAGATGTTACTGGTGCTATGGTCCTAGATGTTACTGGTGCTATGGCCCAAGATGTTACTAGTGCTATGGCCCAAGATGTTACTGGTGCTATGGCCCAAGATGTTACTGGTGCTATGGTCCTAGATGTTACTGGTGCTATGGGCCTAGACGTTACTGGTGCTATGGCCCAAGATGTTACTGGTGCTATGGTCCAAGATGTTACTAGTGCTATGGCCCAAGATGTTACTGGTGCTATGGTCCTAGACGTTACTGGTGCTATGGTCCTAGACGTTACTGGTGCTATGGTCCTAGACGTTACTGGTGCTATGGTCCTAGACGTTACTAGTGCTATGGCCCAAGATGTTACTAGTGCTATGGGCCTAGACGTTACTGGTGCTATGGCCCAAGATGTTACTAGTGCTATGGGCCTAGACGTTACTGGTGCTATGGTCCTAGATGTTACTGGTGCTATGGTCCTAGATGTTACTGGTGCTATGGTCCTAGATGTTACTGGTGCTATGGCCCAAGATGTTACTGGTGCTATGGGCCTAGACGTTACTGGTGCTATGGTCCTAGACGTTACTGGTGCTATATATCCTGGTATTACCGTTACCTTCAATCTCTACACTGGCCGCTGACATGACTTCGTTACCACGTGGCAGTTGTGATAATGTAGTCAGCTGCCGCGGAATACTGAGGAAGATATACATCATACAATAATATGATTGACATCATACAATAATATGATTGACATCATACAATAATATGATTGACATCATACAATAATATGATTGACATCATACAATAACATCGACATTCACAACAACACCGGAACTGAGAGATACAAGAGTCTTGGATAAATTATTATTATTGGTCTGATTACAAGACGTCAACTCGATTAATTCAGAATTCCTGGGAATTAATCTCTGCATCACAAGCACTTGGACAAATACACAATTTATATACAATACAGTTCCTTAATTACGGAAATCGTCGCTATTAATATTAATGAAGTCTCCTCCAATGACAATTATTGTTTTGAACTTTATATAAAATTCACAAATGAAATGTTAGACAATAAATGGTTGAAATAAATATATATATTTCTGGAGGTGCTGGGAAGGTTTTCTCTCGCACGTCGAGGCCTCCAGCCTCACTCACAACTGTTTCTGGCATTTATGTTATTTTCCCTATACCTGGTACACGTCAACGCTATCAGGGAGTGGGAGAAATACATGAAAGCCTTAAGGAGACTGTCCACAGCCTTCCACCATACAGCCCACAGCCTTCCACCATACAGTCCACACCTTTCCACGCACACGTGCTCACACACACACACACACACACACACACACACACACACACACACACACACACACACACACACACACACACACACACACACATACACACACACACACACACAGAGGTTGTGAACGAGGCCCCTGAAGTGATGGAAGGAGGAGATCCATGGAGTAGAGAGAAGACCTGCACACACCAGGGGCGACCAGAGCCAACAACCCACTCCTCATAAATATACAATGTACGCCAGGGGAGCGGGTTGCGTCCTCTGTCGCCCCTCCCAGTGTGATGATACAGTTCCTAAGCTTATTTGGCACGTGTCTCAACCAAGGACGCTCATGATCTCGTTTTCACACATGTTCTACATTACCGTATCTCCTTTACCTGGATACACAGAGCCAGTGGCTTGTCACAGGTGTTGCGAGAGGTACTGGGGACCGATGTGTGTGTGCCTCGGAGCAGTGCCTGGCCCTCAGAGAGGCACCTGAGGGCCAGCCTGCCGTGGCAGCTAACATTCGGAATGATATCTTCACTCAGTACACTGCCTAGCCTGTGGCGGTGCTTAACATATATGCTTAATGTACATATGCGTTACAGTCGCCTACCCACTGAGCATCACCAAGGTATCCACCATCCACCACGGCACCCACCATCCACCACGGCACCCACCATCCACCACGGCACCCACCATCCACCACGGCACCCACCATCCACCACGGCACCCACCATCCACCACGGCACCCACCATCCACCACGGTACCCACCATCCACCACGGTACCCACCATCCACCACGGTACCAAGGATCACCATCGGGCGAGTGTTGTTCCTACCAAGTGACATCAACGCTGTCAACTCAAAACTTACGCAAGTAACATTGTACAGACAACATGATGTGTGATGAGCATTAGTAAATGACCCAAATATGTACACTATTTACACCGCTATGTACACCTTGAGCACTTCCTCATAGGGTTACGGCCGCTGGCTGTGAGCATCCTCACGGGGAAGACAGGGGAATGTGCAGGTAACACAAGGGTGCTGGCCGACTGAAACTGGGGGACTGGAATGAAACATGGAAGCTGGAATGAAACAGAGGGATGGAATGAAACATGGAAGCTGGAATGAAACAGAGGGTTGGTATGAAACATGGAAGCTGGAATGAGAGGGTTGCAATGAAGCAGGATAGCTAGAACAAAACAGGGCTTGGATAAAAACAAATAACATTAAAACAAGGATGAGGTGACACAGGGATCTGTGTCACACTTGAGAGAGAGAGAGAGAGAGAGAGAGAGAGAGAGAGAGAGAGAGAGAGAGAGAGAGAGAGAGAGAGAGAGAGAGAGAGAGAGAGAGAAACAAGTATTTGTGGTGAAACAGGAGGCTGGAGTGAAACAAAGCGCTCACAGTGAAACAGGAGGTTGAATCACATATGAGGTTCTAATAAATTTTGAAACAAGCGTAGTTGACAGAGAAAGGGGTCTGAAACAAGCGTAGTTGACAGAAAAAGGGTCTGAAACAAGGGAAGTTGACAGAAATATGGTCTGAAACAAGCGTAGTTGACAGAAATATGGTCTGAAACAAGCGTAGTTGACAGAAATAGGGTCTGAAACAAGCGCAGTTGACATAAATAGGGTCTGAAACCAGCGTAGTTGACAGAAATAGGGTCTGAAACCAGCGTAGTTGACAGAAATAGGGTCTGAAACCAGCGTAGTTGACAGAAATAGGGTCTGAAACCAGCGTAGTTGACAGAAATAGGGTCTAAAACAAGCAAAGTTGACAGAAATAGGGTCTAAAACAAAGTGAGCAGCTAATGTGCCGAGACTAAGATCATGGGATAAAATTGGTTCCGAAACAACGGTAGTGAGTTAAGAAGCAGATACAAATAATAATGATTGAATGAGAACATGTCTGAAGCAATGACGGTGGTATGGCAGTGTGTGAGAAACATTATAATGGGATGTGAACGTATGAGAAACAATATAATGGGGGATGTGAGCGTGTGAGAAAGAGTGGTAGTGGGGAGAGACCATGTTAGGAACAATGGTGGTCAGACGCAAGGAGGCATAAGATGATGAAGGACAAAGTTGAGATTCAGATACATAAGGTGTGGCAGCTGTAAAGTCTCATGCAGGACTGACATAAGGATGATAATACTGTGGATTCCCAGACATTAAAAAAACAGAGACCGGGGGGGGGGAGGAGAGAGAGAGAGAGAGAGAGAGAGAGAGAGAGAGGAGAGAGAGAGGAGAGAGAGAGAGAGAGAGAGAGAGAGAGAGAGAGAGAGAGAGAGAGAGAGAGAGAGAGAGAGAGAGAGAGAGAGAGAGAGAGAGAGAGAGAGAGAGAGAGAGAGAGAGAGAGAGAGAGAGAGAGAGAGAGAGAGAGAGAGAGACTCTTACAAGCCAGAGAGAGCACAACACGGGGGGTTCAAAAAGCTTGTAGCACCAAAAGGCATATTATCTTAGGGGGTCGAAATGCGTTAACTTCAATGTTACTTACTCTAACATCTTTAATTATGTAGTAACAGATTCCTTTTACGGTATTCGACGACATACATAAGTAACGAGGTATATCAATCAACTTATAAAATACCTAACAATATTGGCACATACAAATATATATATACAAAATCCTTATTCAGTTAGACACTGCTAGTAGGACATATATGAGGCGGTGGTGGAGGCTTGGTGCAGCAGAAGGCTTTCCACGGTCCTCCAGCCCCGACCACTACTACGCATTATGCCATTCATTTGCTGTGCACAAGTCTTACAATTTTTCAACATGAAAAATAAGATTAGTTCACTTCGCGCACTAGCGAGCGTCAATAGAGTATTAGGGTATGATGTCAGGTACCAGGCCCGGACCGCACGCTGCCACCAGAGTGCTGTCTCCTCTCACCTTACACAGACTTCAACATGCTCTCAAAATAAATACATGCTCAATACGGCGAGTTGGTCCGAAATTTAGAAATATTTCCACACGCTGGTATGACTTCAGCCTTGAATTGATAATTTTTGTTTTTCAGTTCACTGGGACATCCTCTGTTGGTCCGTGAGAACTTGCGGCTCTCCACCGAGTCCTGACCAGCAGTTTGTATCTTCAAGCGGAACATTTTTGAGTTCCTCACAGGGGAAAAAAAATCCAATGCAAGCATTTTTAAATGTTGACTCCGGGCTGAGCTGAGGGTTTGAGCTCCATGTACTGGAAGGGGACATGGAAGGAGTGTCCCTGGTGCTCGACGAGCAGATGTCCTCGCCTGGGAGACGCGCCCGCTACCACCACCGACTCCCCCTTCAGCAGCACCGTGTCGCTCCCGCCTTCATCTGCATATGCAACAAATCCATTAGAAACAACACAGTTCGTTCTACCAGAAATTATTGTCATTGAGAATGAGTACCAAAATAGGTTATATTTTTTCTTGGAACATATATACAGCATCATTATAAGTTTTTAAATGCTCGTTTAGAACACCTTTTAGTGACAAAAGCAAAATAAAGGTAGGAAGCGGAGGAATGTTGGGTAGCTGGTTGTAGAGGCTGGGAGGGGTTGTAGAGGCTGGGAGGGGGGGTTGTAGAGGCTGGGAGGGGTTGTAGAGGCTGGGAGGGGGTTTGTAGAGGCTGGGAGGGGTTGTAGAGGCTGGGAGGGGGTTGTAGAGGATGGGAGGGGTTGTAGAGGCTGGGAGGGGTTGTAGAGGATGGGAGGGGTTGTAGAGGCTGGGGAGGAGTTATAGAGGCTGGGAGGGGTTGTAGAGGATGGGGAGGAGTTACAGAGGCTGGGAGGGGGGGGGGGTTGTAGAGGCTGGGAGGAGAGTTGTAGAGGCTGGGAGGGGGGGTTGTAGAGGCTGGGAGGGGGGTTGTAGAGGCTGGGAGGGGAGTTGTAGAGGATGGGAGGGGTTGTAGAGGATGGGGAGGAGTTACAGAGGCTGGGAGGGGGTGGGGGTTGTAGAGGCTGGGAGGAGAGTTGTAGAGGCTGGGAGGGGGGTTGTAGAGGCTGGGAGGGGGGGTTGTAGAGGCTGGGAGGAAGGTCGTAGAGGCTGGGAGGAAGGTCGTAGAGGCTGGGAGGAAGGTCGTAGAGGCTGGGAGGAGATGTAAGCAATGATGACGTGAGCTCACCGGGGAAATTCCTCTTCATGAGGCGTGTCTGTGGGTAACCCATCTTGTGGTTGCCGCTGATGGTGTAGGACCTACTGGGCGGCACCGGCGGCGGCCGTTCCTCCAGGAGAATGGTAATATACACGTTGTAGTAATACTTATCTTCATATGATAAATGGCACATATTGTTTAATACAACACTAATTTCACTGACACAATTAGACCAAGGAGTGAAGCGAGATAATCTTGGGAATGTTTAGAGTGGTACACGCATTACCCTGGCTCTGTCAAGGGTTACAAAGGCACACCATAAAGGGATGAGGTAGCTCAGATTAAAAAGTAAGTAAGTAGTTATAAAAAGAAGGCACCAAGTTTTTAGGCTTTTACACCAGGCTATGTAGTAGTAACCCATTATATTGAAGAGGATTAAGATGACGAAGAGTTGAGGGAGTGGCAGACGAGTAAGCAGGACAGCCATAATCGAATTTAGACAGCATGATAAAGGAATGTAAAGAGAGGAGCGTGCGCCTATCATCTCCCGAAGACGTATGGGACAAGACTTCAAGTAAGTTAAGGGCCTTAAGCATTCAACTCGGAGGTAAGAGATATCGGGCGACCAAGACCAACGATTGTCAAAGAATCCCAGAAGTTTAACAGAACCCTTTTACAAAAGAGGATCATTTATAATTGGAAAGTAACATTTATAAGTAACCCAACACACACACACACACACGTTGACTGAAAGTGAAGACTCTTCAGCTACGACTTCATGAGGGGTCCAGGATGGACAGAAATGTCATCACTCATTTCATATATGTGGGTTGGGTCATTGGGCTTCAGTCGCGTTTATTGTGACTTGCACATATATACACACATATTACATATATATTCATCAGATAATTTTATGTTAAAACAGTAGTTGAATTACCAGGTCGAGACCAAAGAGGGAACAGGTCTGTTGGATGGTCTTCTGGTCGCAGCGGTCCATGACGTCGGGCGGAGGGGTGCCGGCGATGGGTTGTGGCCGCGGCCGGACAGTGCGAGAGCGAGCCCTCAGCTCTAAGTTCCTCTTTAGCGTGGGCCACCTTCGTCGGAAGTGCCAGCCCCGCCATACTGCCTGCAGAAGGGTCGCTGCTCGGTGTCTCATCTCTATTCTCAGCATCTCTAGCTGCTGCCTCGCTCCTTCACTGTTGGGGGAGAGATGTCTGTGTCACTGATTCTCCCAGGGTGTAGAGAACAACTCTCTAATGCTTCTATTCAGTTAAGATGTTGGAATACTTATAATTTTAGTAAAATTCTAAATATTCTATAAGGAACCATTATAAAAATGAAGGAAAAAAATGAACACATTCACAAGGATCATATTGAGGGTTCGAACCTGCGTCCGGGATGATCCCAGAGGCTCCTTAATCTTTGTTCATTTGATGTATCACGCTATTGTGATTTCTGTGTGTAAGGAAAAACAATCTTTACTTTTATTTACCTTAGAAATATATGTCTCTTTCCTAGTGCCCACTGGATAGCGACGGTGGAGGTCTTGTTAATGTCTTCCAGTGACCTCACAAAGTACTCGAGAATGAGCTTACAGTCGTCCACCGTCTTATCCTCCACGCGGCGCAATTTCTTGAAGGGCACCAGTAACCGGTAGCGCATGTTGAAGGTCTTAAACCGCATGCGGTGAGGGTAGCCGCCAGCCATCAAGTTGACGGTCTCCAGCACCTTTTGGAAACAACCGGGCATGGGCTCAACTCTATGTCACTACGCCTCACCTCGAAGGTTGAGGGATATTACGTACACCCCTTGAGATAATAGACCCCAAGACATACAATCACCCCAAAAATTGGGACAATCTACAAGGAGATGCAAGACTGGAAGAGGACAGAATAGCTACGATAAGAAAATAAAATAAATGAATAATACAGTTCAAAGAAAAAGTGACAGAACTATGTAATATTGGGATCAGAAAAAAGTGTTATGGGCCACTTCTTGAACCACAAGTGGTTCAAGAAGTGGCCTTAACAGTCTTTATACAAACCAATTTATATCTGCAGTGAGTCAGTTACAAAGTTACACACCTGCTCCACACCCACCCAACTGGGCGGCAGGTTTAGACACGTGTATACATTACCTACAGTAAGCAAACTTTGGATACTTTACTAAGATTTCTGATAGTATATCATTATCAATGAAGTACTAACACATTTCTTGAACACAAATGAATTTTTGAATTGTTTCAATTTCGATTACAGAGTGATGCAAAGTGTGTGAATAGTTCTGCTGAGAACGTTTACATTTACAGCCTACATCAGCAGGTTGTGGAAGCTCTCAATTGAAATTGAAATTAAAATAAGTTTATTGAGGTAAAATACACACAAAGGGATGAGGTAGCTCAAGCTATTCTCACCCCGTTCAGTACAACGTGTTAATACATACATAGACACACATTACAAACAATAAACATATTAAAAGCTCTCAAGGGTACTTGTAGCCGAGCCTAAGTTTAGCAGTAATAACATCTAAAGGTCTGCTAACCTTATTGGATGATCCATAAAAGTGCGGTTCTTCCTGTACTTCCCTGCTTGTGACAAGCCAGATAACCTGTTATAGCCTCCCAGGGAAATCTCTCACAGCTCCTGTCATTATTAAACTGCTTGAAATTTATCCCAGTTTGACATCGGTGTGAAGCCTGCTACTGGGAAATATCTGAAGCCACCTGCTGGGATCTAGTACATCTCTACAAAACCTGAATGTTTATTATTCTGGCTTACTACTCAATTTCACTAAAAATCTGAAACTGGAAATCCTAATGCAACAGAAGCTGAATTCACGAGAAAGCTGCGTGAAAGGCCTCCTTCCTATCAACACAATTTTCGCAACCTGTCATCCAAAGCCTCCAATGGCGGCCAGCGGCCAACCTTACTCACCTGGAGTGCACGGATCTGCTTAATAACCGTGGCACGGTCAAACACCGCCGCCTTCTCCGTACAGTTAGATCTGAGGCAGCGGATAAAGTGCGGCTTAGCGTGTACCAGCGTCCGCAGCAGGTTGTCAAGGCGAGTGTGGAAGTCCTGCGTCAACGTCGACACTGGCTCATCTCCATTTTGCCTTGGTGAAGAGAGAAGGGCGAGAGGCTGTTACACAGGGAGATATGTAGCTCATAACATTTGTCTATCTGTGCCCTTATCCACCTTGTCTAATTACATATTACCGCCTAGCCATCGGTCTCTATTAACCTCAATCCAAGTTGAGGTCCTTCCTTCCCATGCATTGGGAAGGCCACACCAAGCCTCGCTTATCTACATGCACAAAAATCAATACTGGAATTTTAACAGTCTCGAGCACATACACTGTACAATAACCGCTGTATTAGCTGCATCTCTAGCTATGAGTGACACACAGGAGAGGCACTACTCACAGATCCGTGTGTGAGGTTGGGCTGATGCGGAAGGACACCCCTCGCGGCACTGGGTCCTGGGAGAAGAGGGCCTTCAGTTCCGAGCCGAAGAGGTGCGTCGCAAAGCCAAAGTTACACGACTGCTTGTGGAAGACGCAGACCAGGTCGTCGCTGATGATGTCTCGATTGGTGTCTGAAGCGCAGCAAGAATATTCTTTGTTAATGAGCATAACTTTGCTAATGCAAAGAGTAAGTTACAATAACGCGGCTCAAGATTAAAGGCCCAACCCAGAAATCTGAAAATAAGGAGAGTAGGGCCGTTTCGATCCGTCCTGGGCCATTATGGTGTCATGCAAGGAAAGAGTTGTGGAGGCAGTCAATATACAAGGTAAAAGCGTGAGATGAAAGGTGAGAAGGTTGAAGTATGCTATACTTCTTACCTTCTCGCTCTTTATCTCACATTCTTATCTTATATATATTGACTTTCTCTACCTCTCTTACACGACGTGATAATGGTCCAGGACGTCACTTCCTTTGTTTTCAAGTGTACAGGGAACTGTAGCCACCTCGCCAATGATCGCCTATATACATTGGTTAGTCATTGACCTCATTAACTAAGCTTCATGACTAATCAACCTCCCGATGACACTAATAGTGCGATTTAGGTACAGTTTTACATCAAATTTTGGCGCATGCACAGGCCGCACTGAGCCTACAGTTGCGACACAAAGGCTGCATGAACGCGCGAGCCATAATTCATTCTTAGTGAATTATGGCTGTGATTTATAAGTGTTATTTGCTTACCCGAGGAACTTCTCACGACGCGCCACTGTTGTACATGTCCAGCAACACCTTGTTTAGAGCTCGCAGAGGTGTTGCACAGCAATCAAAACAAAATGCTGTTTTCTCCCACACAACTCATTTGCAATTTGTGACAGCTGGGCAAAAATACCCATAGACTACGTGTATCAGTTGGTAGAATACATATATCCGCAATGGAAGAAGTAAAGGATAGTTGTGTGACAATTGATACAGTAATCTACTTTCTACTTAATCTACTCGAATGAGAATGGTTAAGTTACTGACCGAAAGTTGTGGGCTTACCAAGGAAGTCCGAGGCGTCGTACATGACTCTGCTGGCGAAGTGGTGGATGCCGAAGGCCCTGATGTGGTTGGCCTTAGGCTCGAATAATCTCATGTTGCCCTTGTGCTGTACCTTGACCTTCTGGATGTAGCTCTCTGGCGTGCCCCTCACCGACCCCTCCACGTCCAGCATGCTGAGGAGACCCGTGCGCTAGGGAGACAACACTCCGGTCAGGTCTAACACTACCCACCACCACCACCCTGCCATATGATAATAACTCTTTTCTGGAAAGTGATTGTATTACCTAACAAATAAAATTTAAATTCTAAATAAATAAATGTTCGACATCGACATTTTTCACTGTTGCATGATATATACTTACTTCTAGCTTGGAAAAAATGTGTTACTGTAGGTGTACTTTTGCCCCCAAGAATAAAAATCATCATTACTATCCGAGTGCCGTCGGTATATATATATATGGTCATATATATACCAGTATATATATATCACTATATATATATATACATATATATATATATATATATATATATATATATATATATACACCAGTGTATACGACGCCTGGGATCACGTCGTCAGGTCAGAGACTTACCAAGGAAGATATGAGGTCGATACATGGAACATTGTCTACATAGTCGACCTCGACTTCACAAGTAATACCCTCCTCTCGACATGACTCGATCGATGACTTGAAGATGTGGGTATTGTAGAAGTGTTGCATTGTCTCAGCACACAGGTTGATGCATAGGTGCTCCAGGTGGGATGGCTACAGGACAAGGGGAAAATTGATGTTAAACGGATTGCTAACACCTTCATAAATATAAAAGAAATTAACATACATTTTTGGCACCATTAGAGGCCATTGTCGTCATACAGTAACATTTTAAAATATTTAGTTTCAGAAATATTTATATGATTTAAGGTTTTCACCTCAAGAAATGTGGTGTAAGTGGTGTAGTGGTGCTCACACACCACTACAACTACATTATAATCATGACTTCTATCCACCAAGGCAGAAGCTTCCCGACTCCTCTACCTTTGGGATAGATTAAAACATTTCAGCTTGGAGTACTCTGTTGGCCTACATGATACAGAGCTTATCGCTGCGTGAAGAAATATTTTTTTTTTCTCTTTCTCTCTCTCAACCACGGAATCTGACGAAATAGTTCCCGCAGTGTCTGAGGAAGATTCGGGCCGCCACAACCACTGGGACGCAGGCCACCACCTCCTCCCCCCCCCCACACCTGGCCACTTACTTTAGGGTCCTCAAAGCCAAACATATCGAGGATGCCAATGAAGCCGTCAGTGGCGTGCTTGACTGCATTATTGAGGACGCTCATGGATTTGGACGCCTTTGAGCCGGCCGTGCCCACCGTGGACGCGTGTTGGGACGCCACCTCGGCCTGGTGGTGGACACTCTCGTTGCTGCAACATACGGATATTATGGCCAAAATAACTTACTGGAAGCAGACAGCTGTCATAAAATTCTCACAACAATTGCTTGGTCTATGATGGTAAATATTATTTCGGCTTTTACGTTAAAAAATAAACATCCTAATTTATTAATTGGCTATTTAAGGACACTTTAGAAGCCAATGAATCGTAAGTGTACAATAATTAATTTAGGTATACCGGCTTGCCATTGTTTTGTTTATGTCTACCAAGTACAGAAGTACTTTGTTTGTTCTCTGCTTGTTTATACTCAAGGGTCACCAGACACACCTTTATGGTGATGGGATGGTTGGCTCGACATGGAATGGTTTAGGATAGGTTGGAAAGTTGGGTTGGGTTGCGATGGGAAGGGTTGAGTTGTGATGGCTTGGGTTAGGTTAGAATGGGATGGGATAGGTTGGGTTGGGATGAGAAGGGTTGGCTTAAGATGGGTTATGAAGGAATGGGTTGTGATGGGTTGGGTAGGGTTGGGATGGATAAGGCTAGGATGAGTTGGGATGGGTAAGGTTGGGTGGTATGGGTTGGGTTTGTATAAGTTTGATATACTTTGTTTAATATTAGTTTATTTTATATAACTTAAAAATTACTGCAAATTTTCAATCTTTTCCTCAAATCACTAGTATTAAATACTTTGGTAATGTTCAACTTTATTTTGAGCTTATAAATCACAACCATATTTTAAAGTCGTCCTCAAATTTATCAGAAATTATATTGACTCACCTGTCAGAGGAGAGGGTGCCTGAGGTAGAGCCGAGCCGCTTGAGGGAGTTGGCACGACGGACAATGGTAGCAACTGTCCGGCAGTAGAGGGCCTTGGCCAGGGCATCTCGAGTCATGTTAGACTGGGGAAAAAAGGATCATGTCACCAATGATCATGTCATGTCACACACACATACACACACAACTTAGGATTCAGTTTATGACCTATCCTGTTTCTCATATATGTAAACGATCTTCCAGAAGGAACAGACTCATTCCTCTCAATGTTTGTTGATAATGCTAAAATTATGAGGAGGGTTAAGGAAGAGGAGGACAGCAAGAGGCTACAAGATGACTTAGACAAACTGAAGGAACAGTCCAACAAATGGCTACGAGAATATAACTCAAGTAAATGTAAAATATTGAAGGTAGGAGGAAGAAGGAGGAGACCAGACACAAGGCACTGAGTAAGAGATAAAATTCTATATGAAACGGAGGGAGAGAAAGATCTCTCTGGATCTTCCAGCCAGTTGATCTCTGGACAACCAACAGTCAGTAGGTCACGACCAACAGTCAGTAGGTCACGACCAACAGTCAGTAGGTCACCGCCAACAGTCAGTAGGTCACGACCAACAGTCAGTAGGTCACGACCAACAGTCAGTAGGTCACGACCAACCGTCAGTAGGTCACGACCAACAGTCAGTAGGTCACGACCAACAGTCAGTAGGTCACGACCAACAGTCAGTAGGTCACGACCAACAGTCAGTAGGTCACGACCAACCGTCAGTAGGTCACGACCAACAGTCAGTAGGTCACGACCAACCGTCAGTAGGTCACGACCAACAGTCAGTAGGTCACGACCAACAGTCAGTAGGTCACGACCAACAGTCAGTAGGTCACGACCAACAGTCAGTAGATCACGACCAACAGTCAGTAGGTCACGACCAACAGTCAGTAGGTCACGACCAACAGTCAGTAGGTCACGACCAACAGTCAGTAGGTCACGACCAACAGTCAGTAGGTCACGACCAACAGTCAGTAGGTCACGACCAACAGTCAGTAGGTCACGACCAACAGTCAGTAGGTCACGACCAACCATCAGTAGGTCACGACCAACCGTCAGTAGATCACTCCGATTAACCGTAAAATTATTTTTACGGTTAAATCATATAACAAATAATATACAATTACCTAGCAGTAAATAGGTACCTGGTAGTTAGTCAGCTGTCACGGGCTGCTTCCTGGTGTGTGTGTGTGTGTGTGTGTGTGTGTGTGTGTGTGTGTGTGTGTGTGTGTGTGTGTGTGTGTGTGTGTGTGTGTGTGTGTGGTGTGTGTGTGTGGTGTGGTGTGGAAAAAAAGTAGTTAGTAAACAGTTGATTGACAGTTGAGAGGCGGGCCGAAAGAGCAGAGCTCAACCCCCGCAAGCACAACTAGGTGAATACTAAATGAAGACGTTCCTGTAATATGTAACTCTCTCATGTCTGGGAACGTAAAGCTCTTCACTTTACATACCACATTTTTATGTAACAGTTATGAGTATTATGAGTAAGTGGGAAAGAGAGAGCGTGAGGTGACAGAGGGAGGGAGGATACTCACCATGTTAGCGTCACACATGGACTTGACAAGCTGGCCGCGGACGTTGTGAGTGCGGGTGGTGAGGCCTCTGTACAGCGCCGCCGACGACACCCCCAGCAGCGCCGCCACGCTCTGATCACATCAACACGAAAAGCGTTTACCAAAAATATACAGCAACTAAACAAAGTCAGGTGCATACATCAACACGCATTTAATGGTAATCAATTAAATAATTAAAATATGTATTCATGTTAAATTCTTACGCAACAAGATATATTTGCAACCATCATAGGATCATGCAGGAGTACCTTGAGTTCATGACTGCCGCCCTGGATGTCGACCTCCAGGCCCGGCCCCTCAATGAAGGTAACATTGCCCAGCAGGAGGACGGCCGCCAGCACTCTCACCACGTCCAGGAAGGGAATCCCCAGCACGCCCAGGCACGCCTTCCACGCCTCGAACCTGAGAAACATAGACATCATTAACTCACACACCTACGCCTGCCCCCCCCCCTCACACACTCACACCCCTCCCCACACCACCCCCACACACACTCACGCCCCCCACACCACCCCCACCACACCCACGCCAGACGGTGTGGGCATCCTCGCGTGTAGAAAGGAACTAAACCCAACGGTAAGAGGTGTACTCATGACCGTGGCAGCACGACCGAAGTCCCTGCTACTGTGCCTCACCGGATGAGCTCTCGGTCATCTAATGCCATGGCTCCTGACCAGCCACACTCCCTTATCTGTTGTATACATTCAAACATATGTATGATAGGCTTATAAGATTCGACTATCTTCTCTGGCTCATTTCGCATTCTGGTTACTCTCAAGTTAAACAAACGTCACCTTAAATCTCAATAGCTAATCTGTGTTTCTAGCTTGTCATGGTTTTTCTAGCTTAATCCATGACCTCTCGTTCTGTTCTTGTATATGTTAAACATTTCGCCAATATTTACCCTGTTAATACCCTTTATTATCTTATACCTAACAATCCTGACTGCTCTTTCTCATGATTTGTCTTACATAATGTAGAACGATTCCGCTTCATTAGAGTCTCTTCACACTACAACCCGCTCAGGTCTGGGACCCGTTGTGTGCTGTCTCTGACATTCTTGCTTTTGTCTTGTGCTCCTCAAGATGGGACTCCCCGCTGGAGCCAATTACTCCTCTACAACTCAGGTAGTGTAAAATTACTTCAATATTTTTTTTCTGAAAGCTTCTTTATCGAATTATATATGTTTAGTAATATACGATAGATAAAATTAGTCAAAAAGTGGAATGAAACGAAAGAAGTAGTTGTGGAAGCCACCTCCGTCCAAAACTTTAAAGCCTGTATTCGACAAATAATTCAAACGTCAGAATAATTAACCAATAACGTAACAGGTACAACAAGGCTGGTCGGCGGGGCATGAAGAGCTTGACCTCACTTTCCCCGTGTAGTCACTGATTGCGAAGAACCATTGCCCCCCTATTCCCCATTACCAGAAACACCACCAATCCCCATTACCATCCTACCTCATCACCATTACCCCATCCCATCACCAGAACCCCTCCCTCCTCCCCCATCACCAGCACCCCCTCCCACCCTCATCATCAGTACCCCCCTCCCTCCCCATCACCAGTATCCCCTCCTCCCCCATCACCAGTACGTCGACCAGGAGGCCTGGTCGACGACCGGGCCGCGGGGACGCTAAGCCCCGGAAGCACCTCAAGGTAACCCCCTCCCCCGTCACCAGTACCCCCCTCCCCCTCCCACTTGCTAGCACAGAGAGGTGAAGGCGAGGCAGGACTCACCTGCGGGCGTCCTCAATGTCGTCCTGACGGGTGTCGCCCTCACTCAGGTAGCGGAGTGTCCTCACACTGTAGCCCTCCAGGTGCAGCTTCCCTGGCGGCATACAACTATACATCATCTTAGCTAGTGTAAACCCTATCATGTGTTATACACACCCTATCATGCATTATACGCCCCATCATGTATTAAACACCTAACATGTATTAAACACCTAACATGTATTATACAACCTAATATATATTATACACCCTATTATGTATTATACAATATTATATATTATTCACCGTATTACAAATCATATTAAAGATAGATATTATATAAAATCACACACACACACACACACACACACACACACACACACACACACACACACACACACACACACACACACACACACACACACACACACAAGCCTGACCAAAGAGTCAGAGCTCAACCCCCCACAAGCACAACTAGGTGAATACATGCATGCGGGAATCGAACCCACATGCTTGACAGCCTCATGCGGCAATCGGCTGCTGTGTTGCTCTCTTCCCCCCCCCCTGAACACCGATCTGCATAATAATATATGTTTACGATGAAGCCTCTTTGATGTACTGTGTGCAGCCTGTCCTTTTCAGCGTTCACAACGTCACGAAACTGATGAACTAAATTGCCCAAGTCTCACCTAACCGAGAACTCATGAATAGAAAATGGAACATGACGTGAATTTTCTGAGTAACTATGATATTTAGTCCACTTTACGTCAAAATGCGATGCAGTGCTGGAGAGAAGGGGGTTTGTGTTGGAGAGAAGGGCGCTGTGTTGGAGAGAAGGGATTGTGGGAGAGAAGGGGGTTGTTGGAGAGAAGGGGCTGTAGGAGAGGAGCCAGGGCACTAACCTCGTTCCTCCTGCGTCAGCCCCGCCAGCATCTGGTAAAATATGTGGTAGTTCTTCTCGTCAGGGAGTGGCCGCACCACCCGCGTCTGGTCGAGGAAGTAACAGTGAATCTTGGTCCTGTAGAGCGCCCCGTCCGTCACCTGCACCTCTATAAAGTGACCCTGCCGAGGCAAGACAGTGCTCAAACGACCCCCTCTCACTCACCTCGCTGGCTTATCTCCCTCATATGTTCAAACGCCAGATACAACCATTTGATAAAAATACAAACAAAAATAATCTCTCATGATTTGTTCCGTTTGAGACAGAAAAACAAACGGTGTTTCCTCTCAACTGGCAAAGTGAGGTGCATGATATTAATATAACAGCACATTGTAAGAAAATATTAAGACAGGCAGACGCTAACCTTATGCATAATTGACCCATTATACTATCTCAAAGTAGAATTGTTTGTTTAATAGGACAACAAAAAGCTGTGACCAATGATACACATGATACAATGATACACAATGACATGTTGCACTGTCAACATGAGCCACAAATGGCTCATGTTGACAGTCCTGGCCCCGCCGCCCCACGCCACCTACCGGAGGCGCCAGTTTGGAACCACATGTAAAGTATCACTACTAAAACTGCAACTTTCTCAAAAACAAGACTATTATTATTAGAAAAGATGAATCCATAATATATCTAAATTCTCCAATAAAATGAATTTTTAGTTTCACATAATTCCCGTAACTCTGATTGATGGTAACTGAACTAACAGGACACTGTGACTGGCGGTAGCTGTGAACTAACAGGACACTGTGACTGGCGGTAGCTGTGAACTAACAGGACACTGTGACTGGCGGTAGCTGTGAACTAACAGGACACTGTGACTGGCGGTAACTGTGAACTAACAGGACACTGTGACTGGCGGTAACTGTGAACTAACAGGACACTGTGACTGGCGGTAACTGTGAACTAACAGGACACTGTGACTGGCGGTAGCTGTGAACTAACAGGACACTGTGACTGGCGGTAACTGTGAACTAACAGGACACTGTGACTGGCGGTAACTCACAATACGACTAGATTCCGAGTTGGACCTGGTCTTGGCAGAGCCCAGGGAGCGCAGGACGGTGAAGGCTGCAGCCAAGTGCTTGAAGGCGTCAGTCTCCGGCCCGCCACCAGCCACGTCGAACAGCTGCCTCAGCAGCAGCATCGACGTGTAGGTCTTGCCAGACCCGGAAGCACCTGCAGAGGAAGGCCGAACATTTTGTCAACATATTTTTTGGGCGGGAAAAGAAAAAAGAAAAACGGGCTTTGAAATATTATAAAAATCTAATGACTGCTCATTACCACTACATACAAATTAGCTACAAAGTCACATTACAGATGGAAGGAGACAACCCAGGACACGGGCGGTGATCTTGGTGGGCGTGTCTGAGGCACGGGTTGGGGAGTGGGGGAGGGGGGATAGGGGGTGGAAGGGTCAGGTGGGGGTTGAGGGGTGGGGGTTGAGGGGTGGGGGTTGAGGGGTGGGGGTTGAGGGGTGGGGGTTGAGGGGGGGGGTTGAGGGGGGGGGTTGAGGGGGGGGGGAAGGGAGGATCTGAAAAGGGGGGTGGGGTGATTAAGGATGAGCAACTTGGTTATCGTTTACAGTGATGGCGGGTATTGACCACAGACGAGGCGAGAAAAAACACAGCCCCGCTCCTGTGCCAGGTAAGTCCACTACGGGTTCACCATAGCCCGTGCTACTTGGAACTTTTTGTTCCCAGTAGCGAATCTTAAACAACAGAGGCAAGAAAGAGGTAATGAGCGAGGATAAGTGTCAGTTATTATTATTAACATCTTTATTGACAAAATTTAATTACAATTTTGGCTAATCTGAGGATTTCAATTAGTGTCAGAAAGTGACAGTGATGATTACTGACAGGAGACTAAGTTCCTCTAGAAGCGCCTCTTGTGGCACCAGAAGTAGTGCCGCCACCTACAGAGGAACTTGTATTGGACAACACCGCAGGAAAGCCTCTTATAGAGGTCTTAATCGGATGCATCTTGGGTTGATGCCTATCTACTTAGATGTCATAAGTGAAGCTTCAGAGATAAACATGCTGAATATATGTAGAATTTTAGCGACAAAAAGCATTGCCGTAAACAGTCATGTGCTGAAGGATCAAAACAATGCTTCAGAAAACCCGTCTCAAGACCCGACAGCCAATCACAGGTTACACAGGAGAGCTTAAGGAAAGATGTTGCAGACGGAAGAATTGATTACCTGAGAGGATGATCGCCTGAGGGTAGCCCGTCTCGCTCTGCTGGCGGACTGCCTCGTGGACCACCCGTAGAAGGTGGGGACTCTGCACCGCCGCCCGCGTCGAAGTGAGGGTGAGGGCGTTGCCCACCTCATGGTACGGGTTCACCGACAGCAAGATTGGGCCCACGTTGGTCTGGACCGACGGAGAGACACGACGAAGAAGGTGCAATGTTACTTCCAACAGTAAGTAATGAGTAGTCGGTCGTGTTTATCATATCCCTCAATCAGCCATTCACTAGCACACACACACACACACACACACACACACACACACACACACACACACACACACACACACACACACACACACACACACACACACACTCGTAGCCTGGTGGATAGCGCGCAGGATTCGTAATTCTGTGGCGCGGGTTCGATTCCCGCACGAGGCAGAAACAAATGGGCAAAGTTTCTTTCACCCTGAATGCCCCTGTTACCTAGCAGTAAATAGGTACCTGGGAGTTAGTCAGCTGTCACGGGCTGCTTCCTGGGGTGTGTGTGTGTGTGGTGTGGAGAAAAAAAAAAAGTAGTTAGTAAACAGTTGATTGACAGTTAAGAGGCGGGCCGAAAGAGCAAAGCTCAACCCCCGTAAAAACACAACTAGTAAACACACACATATACACACACACACACACACACATATACACACACAGGAGCAGGGGCCTGGCAGCTGCATGGACAACGCTCGGGGGGTCGTAGTCCTAAGGGCCCGGGTTCGATTCCCGACCGAGGCAGTAACAAATGGGCAGAGTTTCTTTCACCCTGGTGCCCCCCTTGTCCAAACACCAGAAAATACGTACCAGGGAGTTAGACAGCTGCTACGGGCTGCTTCCTGGGGATGTATGTATATGTTTGTGTTAGAGAAATATATATCGAGAAGACATAATAGAGGAAAAACAGGCCAAAAAGGCGGGGTCTAGAGCTAATACCTCGATTCTGCAGGCACAAATAGTAAACACACACGCGCACACCCACGCGCACACACACCCACGCACACACACACCCACGCACACACGCACACACGCACGCACACACACACACACACCTCCAGCTCACTACTTACAAAATAATGCGAGGAGCAGAACCTGGCGTGAAGAGTCTTAAGGACGGCATCCTCGGTGAGGGGTCCCGCCAGGTGGATGAGGTCCTCCACTTCCTGCACACCACCTGTCATGCCGCCCCTCACGCAGCTACCATCTGGGGGTACAAGACGTCGTGAGCTGGTCAGCAATGGTGCTGCAGGATGGCCAGAGAGACCTTAGGGTCGGGAGTGACGAGAGGTGCTCCAGACAATAATATTAACGAAAGTTGACTCTTGTTAATATTACTGACTTTGGACACGTTTTTTCAACATAAATATAAAACCTAACCTAACCTCTCCTAGCATCCTAGGCGTGATACACGCTATCTTAGGAGGCCAAATATAGTACAAACATGTGCTATATTAGGCCTAGAAATATATATATTTTTAATCTTTTTGGGGGGAAGGGTACTTTGGGGTGTGTGTAGGGGAGAGGGGGAGAGGGGGAGAGGGGTAGAGGGGGAAGAGGAGAGAGAGAGAGAGAGAGAGAGAGAGAGAGAGAGAGAGAGAGAGAGAGAGAGAGAGAGAGAGAGAGAGAGAGAGAGAGAGAGAGAGAGAGAGAGTGAGTGGGAGGGAGGGTGTTCTTTGTGGTCTTGCCTATATACTGAGATCTTTGGGGCTTACAGTGTGGCGTCCCATAACACCGTATGGCGTCCCATAACACCGTATGGCGTCCCATAACACCGTATGGCGTCCCATAACACCGTATGGCGTCCCATAACACCGTATGGCGTCCCATAACACCGTATGGCGTCCCATAACACCGTATGGCGTCCCATAACACCGTATGGCGTCCCATAACACCGTATGGCGTCCCATAACACCGTATGGCGTCCCATAACACCGTATGGCGTCCCATAACACCGTATGGCGTCCCATAACACCGTATGGCGTCCCATAACACCGTATGGCGTCCCATAACACCGTATGGCGTCCCATAACACCGTATGGCGTCCCATAACACCGTATGGCGTCCCATAACACCGTATGGCGTCCCATAACACCGTATGGCGTCCCATAACACCGTATGGCGTCCCATAACACCTAGCGGTGCGTGGAGTACGTCTCACCAGTGCCATGATCATCCAGCGGAAGGTTGTCACGAGGTCAGGTGTCAGCTGCGCCAGTGAGCCCCGCCCGGCTCTCCCTTCAGGAAGGTCAGTCAGCGACGGAGCAATACTGCCTCCCGTGTGCTTACCTAACGAAGTCTGCATGGCTAAGCTTCAGCTTGTGGACTCAGAAATTTCATCTACAGGACGTCCAATGCAATGGCTGCTAATTTTATCGTTCACCTATAGATTATTTCGAGGTTTCTTCTATATGGTTAACGCTTCCCTGGTTTGTGGGGCTGGTTGCTATACACGTATACAGTATAGCCATCACAGCCTGGTTGATCCGGTCACTCCAACGGGAACTTGAAAAGTTCTCTCTGGAAAGTATCGCCCTTTGTTGGCAACAAGGTTTTCTTATATATATGTTGATAGGGAGCTAAAGAGTCATGTTAGCTCTTTACAGCTACATATGTGTATGTGCGTGCAGATATCTCGCACACACAAACACACTCACACGTTTTAACAATACTTTTCAGAACTACCTAGTAATAAAACATAATATAAATAACAACACTAATAATATAAATAACACTCAGTACAAGTGGCAGAGTAAACTTATATAAAGATAAATATTATGGTTACAGAGTACGCCAGTAAGGTGGCAACCCGCATTACTCTAGGGAGCCCCGAGCATACCTTGTGGGGCTGTGTGTGTGTGTGTGTGTGTGTGTGTGTGTGTGTGTGTGTGTGTGCGTGCGTGCGTGCGTGTGTGTGTGTGTGTGTGTGTGTGTGTGTGTGTGTGTGTGTGTGTGTGTGTGTGTGTTTACAATTTTCGCTTGTAGAATCGAGCTATTGGATCCCGCTTTTCTAACCAATTGTTTCTCTATTATGTTTACTACATATATTTCTTTCTAACACACGCACATACATATCCCCGGGAAGCGACGCGTAGCAGCTGTCTAACTTCCAGGTACAGCGTACTTATTTACTGCTAGGTTAACAGGATCATCAGGGTGAAAGAAACTCAGACAATTTATTTCTGCCTCGGCAGAGAATCAAACCCGGGCCCTAAGGACTTTGACTCCCGAGCGCTGTCCACTCAGCCGCGAGGCCCCCGTATGTGCGTGTGCGTGTGTGTGAGCGCGCGTGTATGTGTGCTTGATGAATTCATCTTGCTGTTGATTACAAAATGTTTGGTAATCAAATGGTTGCCCAATAAGCACCCTGCTCTGAACATATAACGAAAAGGTCTGATGTACCATAGTGCAGATCTTTAATTATTAAAGATCTGCACTCCATTGGGCTGCACAGTGCAGGGCTCACTGCAATGTTTCACACACTTGTTATGTATTACCAATAGCTATCCAATAAATTGAACAGTGATGGTGTGGTGGTGGAGTCGCAGCTTATAAATGCACCGAACATAAGTTTAACGCTCTTACATACTCGTGCTGGTAATATAACACAACACAGCTACATAAACTGTGTTTTCATGCGCTGAAAAAAAAGTTGAAAATCATTTGCAATATCTGCCCATCACGAAGTAGCAGAATTAAAATATTGAAGACACCATTTAACGTAAAAATTGGAGTGTTGATGGCGGCGCTGACAACTTCTCCCCCACACACCCGCCTCTCACCATCCACCAAGAAAACAAAAGCAATGCACGTGGTCTCTGAACCAGCCAGACTTGGCTCGCCATTGTAATCTCTGCCGACAAAGTTCACATTCCCAGCCACAGTACCATAAACACCAATATCACTGCAAGGCACGACATCTTAATGATGGCGGCGCGAGGGATGAGGGCGGCCTGGGTGCATACGGAGGGGCTGGCCAGACCCAGCAAGGGAATGCCAATGTGGGGGCTGGTTATGGACGCGTGGTGAGGAATGTGGTCCCTGGCCGACCCGGTGAAGGGTCACCCAACACACTCCACTCGTCCTTCACCTTGTTACCCCTGTGTCTTGCTGTCACGACTCTGGCCGACCTGCGCGACCACTTATCAACCCGGGTATGTCCTCAACCAGGGTATCCTGACCCCAGGTCTCCTCACCCAGTGTATCCTGACCCCGGGTCTCCTCACCTCAGGTCTCCTCACCCAGTGTATCCTGACCCCGGGTCTCCTCACCCCAGGTCTCCTCACCCAGTGTCTCCTGACCCCGGGTCTCCTCACCCCAGGTCTCCTCACCCAGTGTCTCCTGACCCCGGGTCTCCTGACCCCAGGTCTCCTCACCCAGTATCTCCTGACCCCAGGTCTCCTCACCCAGTATCTCCTGACCCCAGGTCTCCTCACCCAGTGTCTCCTGACCCCGAGTATCCTCAACACTGGGTATTCACCTGCTCTAGATACCAACTACAACGAACACTAAGACTGGCATCCAGAACGTCAAGGGCATCAAATAACTGTCCGGACGCCTGGTGTGAACGGTGCAACGTGGGTCCGGGGGCGGCCCGCGCTGAACCTTTCTGGTGAACTATTAAGTAAAATGTGAGATGGAGAAAAACAGCGCACCACAGTAAGATCACAACAGATGACACACCACAGTAAGATCACAACAGATGACACACCACAGTAAGATCACAACAGATGACACACCACAGTAAGATCACAACAGATGACACAGTAAGATCACAACAGATGACACATCACAGTAAGATCACAACAGATGACACATCACAGTAAGATCACAACAGATGACACATCACAGTAAGATCACAACAGCTGACACACCACAGTAAGATCACAACAGCTGACACACCACAGTAAGATCACAACAGCTGACACACCACAGTAAGATCACAATAGATGACACACCACAGTAAGATCACAACAGATTACACATCACAGTAAGATCACAACAGATGACACACCACAGTAAGATCACAACAGATGACACACCACAGTAAGATCACAATAGATGACACACCACAGTAAGATCACAACAGATTACACATCACAGTAAGATCACAACAGATGACACACCACAGTAAAATTACAACAGATGACACACCACAGTAAGATCACAACAGCTGACACATCACAGTAAGATCAGAGAGAGAGAGAGAGAGAGGGCCTGAACATGTTCTCAGTACGGAGAGGCTGAAGGCCTATAATTACATACATCAACGAATTAATGCGCTTGGTAATGTCATTGTATTATATCAAACTATTTGTTATTAAAGTTAAAACAGTGATTTACTACTGTGATGAGACGTGGGTGTAGGTAATGGTGGTGTCAGCCTCGGGGGAGATCACCAACCTCTCCCACTATCACCACTAATGGTTCTGACACGCTGTTGCTCTCCCATACCATTTGGGCCACAATTATGGAAAAGGGGAAGAGAGGGTGTACCTGTTTGATGGGGTTCTGGAAGTTCTTCTACTCCCCAAGCCCCGTCCGAGGTCAGGCTTGACTTGTGATAGCTTGGTCCAACAGGCTGTTGCTTGGAGAGGACCGCAGGCCCACATATCCACTACAGCCCGGATGGTCCGGCACTTCTTGAAGAAAACTATCTAGTTTTCTGTTGAAGATGTCCACGTTTGTTCCGGCAATATTTCTTATAGTCGCTGGGAGGATGTTGAACAACCGCCGACCTCTGATGTTTATACAGTGTTCTCTGATTGTGCCTATGGCACCTCTGCTCTTCTCTAGTTCTATTCTGCATTTTGTTCCATATAGTTCACTCCAGTATGTTATTATTTTACTCTGCAGATTTGGGACTTGGCCCTCCAGTATTTTCCACGTATATATTATTTGATATCTCTCTCGTCTCTTTTCTAGTGAGTACATTTGGAGACCTTTGAGGCCATCCCAATAATGTAGGTGCTTTATCGCGTTTATGTATGCTGTATGTGTTCTCTGTATTCGGCGTTCTCTGTACTCTATGTCTGGTGTAGGATAGGGAAAGATATGAAAGAGGGTCGGGTCGGGTAGGTCGGGGCACAAGATATGTCTAACTTTCATTACGTGATAAAATGAAATTACTCGCACTTGAAAAGTTACGTCTGATTTCGCTTTTGTTCATCTCCATGATGAGAGGTTTGTGCTTTTACTTCCGCACCC